GCTTCTCAAACTGCTCTCAATAACTGGGCCAGATCAATTTGATTTGTGCCATTTTTTGCCCTGGCACAAAAGCAATCCATAGAAATCCAGGGGCGAGACGGTAAAACGATGCCTCTTTTCTCTCCCTCTTTCATCTCTTATTTCTTTTTCATTTCTGTCTCTTCTGCGGTATGAGGGGGGGAGGAGCAACGGCAGAATTTTTTTTTCTTTTAGACCAGACCGTGAACCAAGGGAGGGAGGAAAGTACCAGGGCACAGTGGTCTGGGAAATGAGCACAATGACTTTTATTGACTGTTCTGCTCTGGTGTTGGGGGCATTTGGTTCCCTCTATTCTCTCTGTCTGTTTTATCAGTGTACTTTAGGTGCTTGAGCCAAACCAGCCATCGATGGCACCTTTCTCTATGCTGTAGTTTGTCAGCCTACAGTCTCATACGGAGGTCTAAGGTTGCTGTACTAGTGTGGAATTTCACATCTGGAGAACTTTAAACAGTTTTGTGCACTTTCAATACCAGAAGAAGAATTTTGTGCAGGAATGACACAGACAAATTAACCATAGCAAGATAAGTCAAATAATACAAGAATGTATTGTTTGTCCCCCAATTACATGTACATGTATACAGTGCATACTTTGAATTGATTTTTAATTAAAATCATTTAAAACATGTACATGTATTGATATGAGTACAAATTAAACCAGCACAGACACTTGTGCAACAGTTTGACTTCAGTTACATGTATAACCCAATTCCCTCCCCCCCCCAATAGACGAGCAAGTGTCCGCCCATTTGGAGAGGGTTGGCACTTTACGTAAGATTCCAGAGCATTTTTCACCAGAACTGATTTTCTTCACATTAATAATGACACAAAACAGGCTTGCATTCGCTGAAGTTAACTACATTGATATTTGAAGTACACTGTACATGTATGTAAACATTAAAAACACCACAGGATACACTTTTATTAACCAATGTGAGCAAACAGTGAAATAGCAACAACTGCCTTTCAAAGGAATATTTTGGGCGACATGGGAATGCATTAAAATCAATTACTACAAAATCGCCTTGGTTGTTCAAGTTATTTCTTTGACAGCCTTCAATATTTCCAGCCTCTCAAAGTGGTTGAAGAACATTGATAAAAATGCTCCCCGCGTCACACGAGTGTACCGTACAACCTTAAAAAAAAAAAAAACCTTTTTCTATTCCACTAAAGATTAAATAATAACCAGCTTTTCAATTTACTGGTCCAAAACAGGCTGATTTATCAAAATGAGTAATCACAGCCCCGACAAAATGAATTAACATGAGATATGGGTAATTCAACGGCCACAACTGGGCTCTAGTACCAGGGCCAATAACAGCCCACCAACCTAACTGCCTCCCGGGATTAAAGAATAACTGAAAACAATCTTTTCTTTTAAAGGGAACTAACAAGATGAATGTCCAATGGGAAGTTCCCAGAGAATTTGAACAGTGCCAACAAAAGCTCAACTACAGGTGCTACGGGGGGGTATGGGGTGCTAGGCTAGTCCCTCTTCCGCCCGGGGGGGAATGAAAAATAAAAAAGGAAAAATAAAATGAAAAAAAAAAGAGATGACAGAAGTTGAAAAATGACTACATGTAGGTTGCCGAAAACCTCCCCCTCAAAATGGACCCCCTCCATTGTTAATTGTAAATTGGTTGTGGCAAAGTGCTTTCCCCCCCTCCCCTGGCAATGTTCACCCTGGAAAATCCCGGTGATGCCCACGCAATCTGCTATTTCTCTTGGTCAAAAGATTTTCCATGGGGTCACTTCAGAGAGAAGAAATGATGAAGACAAAAAGAGGCAAGATTTTTTTCACACCCTAAGGTCCACTTGTCATTCCAGCGATTGCGAAAGAGAAGCGAGTTCAATGTCAGGAAACATTTGCAAAGAAATTTGCTTAAGTTGAAATGTCTACCTTTTTCCAAACTCCCAATGTGAGCATTTGATCTGACATCACATAATTGCGTTCATGTTCACTTTCCTGTCAAGTACGAACCAGTCCAAACTACTCAAATCTAAAGCCTGATTATGTAGACCTTTCGTGAATAATGGGTTAAACTTGGAGCCAGCTGTCATGTAATACAAGCACGTCTTTGGTGTCTGACGATCTGGTTTTACAAAGAGCATGTCGTGGGTTACTGCATACTACTGAATTTGAGCATACTCCTAGGGGTTGGGGTCAAACTCCTTCAAAGAGCTGGCTGATCTCAATCCAGGGTAGTTTTTAGTTCAGTGTGATGGAGGAAAAATTCTGCAACAGTCATTAAATTGACTCATGTAGTGCACAGCTCCAACACGTCCACAAAGAGTTTGGCATTGAATCAGATGGTTCAGAATTTGTGCATTGCATAAAGGGCGTGGGAATCGTTTCAGCATGAGGTTTACTCCTCAATCTTTGCTTAGACCAATTACCCGGTCGTCCCACAAGCCACATTCTTGTAGCTCCAACTTTCAACGGAATCAGGGCCTACCAAAAGCAATAATGGGTCAGGGTCAGCTCAACTTCCCTCATTCCTCAATTTGGTAAACTCCTAATTATGGTAGAATTTGAAGGATGTGGGAGTGAAGGTTAAGCCAATCTTTCTCATGGAAGATTTACAATGTACACGGAGCACATACTGCAGGAAGCTAAGAGGATTTCACAGTGGTATCATATACACACAGATGTACGTACATGTATGTGATCTTATGGAAATCTTCTGTACATGGTTTCCATACATCTACAATTTTGTGTTAAACTGAAAACAAAAAAGCTGTCTGTTGCAGGGTACCAGCTAAATGCATGTGTAGAGAGCATCTTTTGCAAACCTCACTTAGCATGTGACCCATTTTACAAAATTTCTTTGCTCCCATTGTGTGTTCTAGGCTGACGTGCACATAAACGGTGTACTCAAAAATTCAAAAATGGCTGCGGAGAATCAAAGGTTGCAATTTTGGATGCCTTTTTTTTGCTCATCTCCAAGGTAACACTCCATGGCAACAAGATAACATCACACAAACTCAAACTCCACTGGCCCTTTAACTTCTGGCAATTTCTCCCAAACCCCCCCTTCCTATTCTCTCTATTTTTAATCTTGCCGCTGGAAACAAAAGCAGCACATTAATCATTCATAATTTGGTCTTTACACCCAATCGCTCGGTCCGTCAATATTGACTCGGTGCACAAGTTGCTGAAAAACTGGTTGCACGGCAACCGGTGCATGTCTGAGAAAGACGCACCGAACAACTGACATACAAATAACATGAAGAAAGAAAAAAAAAATTAGGAGCAGAAATGCTCAATGTAATCAATGTATACATGTACTAGTGCCTTGTACTCTGTATGCAACTGTACACAATACAATGTCAATATTAAAACTAATAATAAATGACACAAATAAATGAATTGGTAGCAATCTGTTAAACTTTTTTCCTCTTTATCTCATTCACAGCTCTGATTCTGAATTCATCTCAACTATCAACTACATGCATGTACATCGTGTTTATTTCGTTTTTGACATTTTTGTTTATTCATCTTTCGTATCATAAATCACATTTCTGCACTAATCCAGAAGCTACATTGCCGGTGTGTTGCTTTGCGATGATCTTCACAGCATCTGGGTTCATTTCTTTTAAGTACATGTACAGGTGCCAAGGAATCAAGACGGAGTTTAAAATGCTGTGCAGCATCCGAATAATACCGTACAACAGGTTAACAATATCACTTTCTAAACTGCGCTCGGGAAATCACTGAAAAGACCGACTTGATGTGATTGGTATTGGTAATTTCCCCAACTTAGGCTGGCGTGGTGGCTCTTTCCTCACCATTCACTGTGAGGTCCAGGTTCGAATCCCGCCTCGGTCCACCTGTGGATTGGGTTTTCAGCCCCTACCCGATTCCGTGGGTTTTACCCAGAATATTCTTCTGGGGTTTTCTCTAACGTTGCATTCTAATTTTGTCACCAGGTTACCAAGAAAGTGCAATGACCTGTGCGAAAGATGAAGGGCCAGTCTTTGTTTCACAATTTAAAACATGCTCTCTTTGCACGTTGCATCAGCACCCATTCCAGGTTCAAAAAAAAAAAAAGCCCCATCAGTTTTGTTTTGACAGATATTGAGCAAATATTTTTCTGAACGTGTACATGAACGCTAAAGCTCAGTTCCTCTTTAGAGCTCTTCCTTTCTGAAAAGTTCCATGAGACATACCGGTACCTGTGAGTACGATAGTATGCATTGTCCCATCAACCCATCTACATGTACATGGTAAGTTTGCCTGCAATGTGGTTTGGAGGCTCTCGCTTGAATAATAAGATGGTATACATGTATCACTCTCTCTTTCTGCCAACAAGTACTGGCCTGAGAACAATTCAAGTCAGGCTATCTGGAGAATTTGGCAAAATCAAATCGCAGGTCTAACGTTTGGTGGGTGACTGAAGTTACTTCTGGCCCAATTTCACGGAGCCGCTTGAGCACAAAATTTACTTTAGCGCAAGAGAACCTTGCTTAATACGGTACATGTAAATCAGACAACCAGCCAAACTCCATGTGATGTACCTTACATGTACATTGTTTTGGTTAGCATGACAACTACATAATGTAGAGTTTGAGCTGGTAACCTTTGTTTATTAACAGTCAAAAATTCCTTCCACTTCTCCCTGTACAGTAGACATACCGGTACAATACATGTATGTCGATTGATTTTGACTGATACGACAACTGTGTCGAGAATGCATCTTTGCATTAGGAGGGTTAAGCAAGGTTTTTTTTACGCTTCAGCAAATTTTGTGCTGACGCAGCTCTATGAAATTGGCACAGGTGTCCAAAAGTTAGAAGCACACGTATCAAACTAGGATGAAATTACTACTGCTTACTTGTTACACGCTGCTGAATTATGAATGCAAGATTATTTCAGTGTACATTTACGATGTGTGGATGGCAGAAGTCCTCCGAGGCTGATGGGTGATTAATAAAGGGCAGGCAGGACATGACAGTGCACTCACCTATGACAAAAAAAGCTGCTCGCTCTACAGTAATGCTGTTTGGCTTCGTGAACGCGCTCCCCACACAAAACTTGCCACTGTGTGTGAGCGAGACTGGGTGCTGAGTGTGCTAATAAACGCTGACAGAGTACGGTACAAAGGTACAGGACTTTGGGTCAAACGGCTCAGTAGTAACACCATCTGAACTGTATCTGGAGCGCTCTCTCCACAACTTTACCAAGGACACCCGTACAAGTACATCTACAAGTACATGTACATGTAAGTCCTCATGGACACCTCTGTGGCCTCCGAGGATTGGACAGGGGAATCCGGCAAACAATGGGCCTAACCTAATATGGGTCCCCCCCAAGTTGTCAAATGCCACTTAGAGGTACACAATACATCTGCGTAGGATTTGGCTGTAACAGGACAAGATGAGTGGCGGGGTGGCCTACATGTAATTTTTAACGGTATTGTGTACGGTAGGCCCCTTTGTTAAGAAGAAACTGTTACCGATGAGTCGAACATTACCGGCACAAGGTGCCCCCATTCCCTCTCCCAAAGGAAAGTAAAAATATGGTAGGGTACATTTCTACACGAATGTAGCAAGTTTCACGCTTGTACAATCAAATCATGTACCGGTGTTTACATTGTTAATAGATGTAATGAATTGATAAATCGACAAAAAGTCCCCCTTTTTAAAAGTAAACAATAAACAAGTAAAGCGTGGAACTTACTCCAATAAAATCTGGCAACATGTGATGTGTACACAGAGCTACATGTACATGTATAGGGCCCTTCTGTTCTGCCTTGGATGATAGCTCATGAATATGTAAATTAAATTATTAGCATAAAATCAGAACGTTTGAAGTTTCTCTCTTTTAACATGTACTGCTTCAAAGGAGGCCAAAAGTCATAGCAGCATTGCAAGACAGATTTCCAACACATATTCAAGTATTCAGAAAAATTTCATATTTCCTGCAACCACATGTATCCTTTCTGTTACAGTATTTGGTTTTACACAATTCTACCTTTTAAGAACCCAAATTGAAAAGCATGTGCTATACACGTCTAGAGGAATCAAGATGTGAGTCTGATTATGCATTTATATGTAATTAGGACTTCGAAAAAGAAAAAGGCGCTAACAATGATGCGCATCAATCACTTTAAATTTTGACACTAGTCGCTACACAATCTCTTTTGAAATGCAAATGTATGTTTCATGAATGTTCTGGCGGACTGTGCACCGCGTAATGTACATACATGTGTGTGCGTACATTAAATGTCACATGCCTCGGGGGTGGGTGATTACATACCGTCCGCTCCCAAGCACAATCATGCAACTATCATTACCAAGTCGAGCATTCACTGTCAGTTACTAGAGCTCCGGCTCGGCTATTTAATCCCAAGCTCTGCTCTCCTCGCAAGAAGATGAAGAGCCCGAAAAGATGAGAAGCGAGAAGATGAGAAGTACATGGAGTTCCCTGGAGGAATGCACACACAATTGTAGGGAGGGTGGGGGCACAGCTACACTCTTAATGGCATAAACAGATCCTGTTTGGAGAACACGGTAATTACTAGCACCCTGGTTATCCTTAGTATGATTTCTGCCCAATTCCAAATTACTTGTAGCCAACCTGTGAGCTGTATAGCATGGGCGTTGCCAGATCTAAACCACATCTTCACAGGAAGCCCAACTTTATCAAATGCACGTCCCCCATGCAGCGTTCTCCTCAAAGCTTACTCCAAATCGGTGCAGTTAAGTACTGGCACTCGTCAATGAAGTCACTGATTGAATCCTTTAAATGTACATCAAGAGAGAAAAAATGGTACTTGAGAAAACACGTACATACCGGTTCAGGTGTGTACATGTTCTCATATACATGTACAGCGGGTAAGGCATTCGCTTGTCATAGATACACTTCACATAATGACATATGAAAGAAATATTGTCAAAAATGGAAATTATATTTTCTGCAGTGTAGGACTAAATCTACCATAGCTGTCATGTTTTTTGTCTTTCAAAGTGTACGGTGCATAACCGCTTGAAAGAGAAATCAATGCTCGGCTCATGTAATATTTCCATTTATAAACAGCGCTCCAAGAGGGGACAAATGTTCACAATTTGTAATGCATGCAAATCAAATGGGAATCAGACCATGTCTACAAATTCTCCTAGACTGAGTCTGACAAAGGATGGAGAGGCTCTCCTCCCCCCCCCAAATCTCTCTCCTTCTCCTCTTTGATAATTTCATTATTCCTACCTTCTATTGATTGATGTGATATGAGGGGAAGCATTCGCTCTCTGGTACACTGTAGTCTGTGTATGTAATTATACAGCTCGAATTATTACCGTCGCAACGCGGCCAGACGAGCGGGAAATATTGGTTCTTGGTGCTGCGTTATGTCAACATCTCTCGTGGCTGCCATTTTCTCTGAAGTTCTTTACCTTGAGGACAGCCTCTTGCAAGATGCAATAGACTGACAGTGTGGCAATTTCTGTTTGGTGGGGGTTTTTATTGCTTAGTGGTCAAACAATTCACGAGTGAGTTGCTTTTATTTAATATGCATACATGTACAACAGGTGCAGATATGGATTGGGTCCAGGTTGTGGAAAATTCATTGAGATGCCTACCCAGGACAAATTGTTTACCAAACGCAGGTGTATATGATTCACTTTCAACTTCTAGATCACATGTCAACTTCAGATGGCCCTTCATCATTTCAGTTAATGGTTCACATAAATACAAATGTGTACAGACAGTATACAAATGTACTCAATACGCAACCAATGAATATAAACAATATTCACTGTTGATTTGTTTCTCAACTACATAACGGTAGAAACTGATACTGCTCTCTCCAGCAATATGGCCCTGGAACCATATTTTTGCGGGCCCTTGGCCGTGATTGCTAAGCCCAGCCCCCCCGCACTCCGGCACCGAGCTGTGCGGCAATTTCAGAACGTGCTAATAAAGCCCTGTGTAAATAGAGTTCATCTCCTCCCAACCGGGGGGCACACAGGCGATCCTTACCAAAATGAGATCGGATGAGTCTGTAGATGCCGTGTTTGGTTCTATCAGCCCCGATAAATTTAACTAGGTCTGTATGGTGACGAAAAAAAAAAAAAAAAAAAAAAAAAAAAAAGAGAACAATCTTCCTACATGTAACTGCGGAAGATTTCTACCCCTATAGTGACTTATTTTCCGCGTGCTTATGGCATTTTGTGCCATTTCTCACTTGGTCAAATTACAGATCGGTTTTTGCCTTATGGAGTGCTTGGTTTTTTACATATACATGTATACGTGTACGAGCACATCTGCAGCTGTGGAAATTGTAATTCAATCCGTCTTTAGCTAAAAGTGAATACTTGTTGAGGAAGATAGACAAGCATCTGAAGCAATTAATTTTTTTGTGGCTGGCTGGTTTCACTTTTTTTTAATGAATTAGCAAAAAAAGCTGCTATTTTTATGAAACACTGAAATTTGTCCAAATATTACACTGGGGAGGTACCCTTAGATGAGACTGTACGGACACATGTAAGATCTAATTTGCAATCAAACATTCCAAGATTTCAAGACACTGTAACCAGGATTAACTTTTGCATGGAAGTGCTACATTTTCATTTGTGAAATTGCTTCAATTTTTGTAAAAGATTACAAGAAAAAAGGGAGAAACGACTACCCCTACTGTATATTGGTAAGACCGGACTTACTTTTTTATTTTCCATGTGCTAAAATTCCTGCCACTCTGACCAATTTTTGAACTTTAAAGGTGAACTGGCTCTAGAGCCTAGAAAAAGTTTCTTGATGATTGTGCCTAGATACGGTTGCTGAAAATAATTCACGTAATGCATGGATGTCTGAAAGTACATGTATATCTGGCTGACCATCCCAGTTATTTCGTGATGGATGGAGTCTTAAGAACTTAAACCGTTCTGGAATGCATAATCAGGTCCCTCTAGAGATCTCGTCCGTCTGATACATATTCCAGAAATTTGACAATATGACATTCCTGGGATAATCTGTCGGCTACAGCGCAAGCCTTGCTTGGCCCAGTTCCGCGGTGAACTCCATTTTTCCGCTGCCCTTGTTTTTTGCTGTCTGAATTTATGAGGGTTAAATGTGGCTGACTTTCCCCCAGTGCCTGAGATGGCCTTTCAGAATTGGGACATTCCTTGGGTGTACAATTTCAGTCGAGACAAATTTTGACATTTATAACAGGGAACCAGGTTTGAAGAAGAATTAGGCTAACCTTCCCAGAATAAATCACAATTTAATATTTTATAAAGTAGTCTTTTATGGAAATCACAGAGTTTAAAGTTATCACAATTTAACGCATTGATCCAACAACTTCTAGCCAAAGGAATATGTAGGCCTATGCCAAAACCAAATCTCCTGTTGCAATGAGTTATAATAAAGAATAAGCCATTTAATGAAATCATTTCAAGTAAACTTGTAAGAAAGAAAAGAGCAATGTGGCCAGTTATCAATTTTCTTTTGATCAGAACACGAAAACTAATTGAGCCTTCACATTTCTTTTTCAAATCTTACATTTAAGAAGTTTTATCTGATTTTGTATTTTTTCTTCAACTTTGCCATTTCATTTTGCGAAGTCTACATGTAGGATAACTTGTAACAATTTACGACACATCAAGTCAAGAAGATATATTTGGGATTTCTCTTGATTTTTTAAAATTCACAATTTAAAGCCGTAGCAAAATTGTAACTTCTCAAATATTCTATATACAGCACTGACAAAATAAGACTTCCAACAGCACAAAATTGTTAGAAGACACTGCACCAGTATTTCAGTAAGTACCGGCAGACTGTACCAGCAGGCCTACATATGGGTCTGGGTTGTTGTGAATTTTTGAAGCCAAGTGCAACAAACAAAGTTAGGAGTTAATGCTGATGCTCAGCGGGATTGCCTTTCACCTAACACATGAGAGTGTAAAGCACAGACTGAACTGCGATGATCCTGAAAGCCACTTCACACCTTTCAGCGGGTTCAGAGGAGACAAATAAAACTCTCCTGACTCTGACGTCTTCATAATGCACTCCCCAGAAGCAAAGACCTTAGACCCCGATTGTTCCACAAAATCCCTTCATTCCAAAAACTCCTTACATCGAGAACAAAACAGTTGCCCAACTTCCTAACTTGGTGGGTACACTGAAGGTGTGCAGCAGGGAACATCAACACAGTCCCCTTCTACATGTACGTGCTAATCTCTCCTTCCTACTTCTACAGTCCTTGTACAAACAGAATGTAACATTTACGGGCAGTTTAGCTCTGAAATGCTGAATTCAATAGGGAACTGGGGGCTCAAGAGTTTGGGATGAAAGGGGGAGAGGGGAAGAAAGGGGAGCTTTAGCAGGTTGCAACTCTGCTCAGAGCTTTTGTCCGGTATGCAAAGATGAGGAATTGTGCCGCTTAGAAACTACAGGAGATAAGCCGATTCTCTTCTCTCCCCTCCCTCCCATACCAACTGGTACCCACAGTACAAAGCCTACAGCGATAGAAGCTAGGTGCTCAGTTTGGGTTGCTATGTTTGTAGGACATGTACATGCCATGTACATGTTGCAGACATGTACATGTACCGCTAGGATACAAAACAAGTGGCTGTTACCCAACAAGTCAAAATACATAAAAACTGCTTTTACATACTGAGGTCGAACTTATTTTGCCCCGTAAATACGAGAGAAAAAGAACACCAAAGAAGAAGAAGAAAAAAAAGGACAGAGAAGCAAACGAACGACTCAGAATACTGTTTTTAGTCTTTTGGCCTACATGTACATCACTATGCACATGTACATGTACATATACTGTAAGTGCAGGTTTGAAATGTTTCTCTTTCTTTTGCATTTAAGGAGCATTTACTTATGAATGATCATGAATATTGAGTTTGCTTAATAGTAAATTCATGTCTGGCTTCCAGTTAATTAATATGGCGATGAGAATTCCCTGGACTAAGCTATGAGCATTCAGCAAAGAAAAATGCTGACATACGACGTAATTAGCATCCGGTTTTAAAAATGCCTCAACTTTTTAACAGCTCAGCTGACAACAGAAACTTCAGCTGTGGTTTAGACTGCTTTCAAGCTCTTTCAACAATGCAAATTTAAACGCGCATGCAGATGTTTTGAATAAGCTTTCCCAGCTTTTGATGCAGCGAAGATAAGCTCTGTGATCTGTAGATTTAATCTAGCTCGACATGCCTGTCTAATGTGTACAATGCCAGTCTCACAAATCTATCAATCCTGAGCACGGTGTAGGTTGTACACACATGTACATGTATGTACATCCAAGTACAAGCTGTACATATTCCCACGTACATGTAAGGTATTGGACATGTATGTACTGTACATGTACAGAAAGTAGGTCTCTGTAGACTCTAACATTTCTGGTTCTCCTCTCATGGGGGCGCTGTATTGATTTGACATTTGCTGGTTGCAATGGAAAATGACAAACCCATTGTCAAGATCAGTTCAGCATCATTTTCTGCCATTCCCTTGGAATGATTTCCCACAGCACGAGTCATTTTGTTCCACTTGGCTTCATGTCTGATTTTAGCGGAGACAGAAAAACGTCAAAATTTGAACTGAATTTGCTTGTTTGGTGGAATACATGTACATGTATGTGAATTACAGGTCTCAGCCGAGTCTGATGAACATTGCAAAGAACTTTGTTGGCTAAAGACTGGTGAAGTTGGCCCGATTTCACAAAGTTCTTTATTTTCTTCACTTCTGTCTTACTCTTACACAGTAAAGGTGTGGAGGGTAGGCATGGAACGCCCTCACACAGGGCATGTTTTGTTACCGGTATTAATTAGATTCACATGAAGTACTATAGTGTCTACTCAAGCATATCACACAGGAACAAAGACCTGTCCTCTTTGAGGGCGCTCCACGCAGCCCCTCTATGCTTCCTTGAGTTCAGGCTTTTCTTATAACTGGCTGTGGCATCAAGTGCTGCAAATACACATGCAGAAAGAATCTTTAGTCCAAAACAAGCCACTTTCTCCAAAATATTTTTCACCATAATTTAGCAATTTTGAATTTCAAATATTATTTTTTAACCATATGTCCATTCCCCAAAACATGTACAAGTAGGAAGAAACTTAAAAATTCCTTCTTCTAGGTCCAACAGCAACCAGCTTGAAACAGTGTTAGATTCACATGTAACAACTCTATAAAAACCCCAAAAGTGCAGACAATTACATGGTTTGCTGCAGCAAACATGAAAAGTAATGATGGGAAGCAATGAATCAATCAATCAATGGTACAAAAGGTGTATCAAAATGTGCAGTCATAAAAATCAGTCATTTCAACAATGAAACCCAAATGCATCACGTGACCCGTAATCTTCATCACCTCAGTGACAGTCAGTCAGTTGAATTATGCGAAAACGACGGAAAAAGAAGAAACCAAAAAAGCAAAGAACTTGGTACGAGAAATTGCCATTTTGCTGGATATATGCACATGATAAACCAACCTTCTCCATTTTCAATGCAAGGCCCCTACATTCAAAAACTTTGTGCAACTTTTTCAATAATGAACTCAGCAACTGGGCCTAGCTGCAAATGCAATCCTAAGTTAAAAAGTGGAGAGTTCCATATTCACATGTATGGACAGCACTTGAGGCCCTGTGCACAACCTGACACTTTTCCAAAAAAGTTATGTTTTTTAAGTAGGCCTACATCTAAATAAATGCTTCACAATTTTCGTAGCTAAATTTCACTTTTTAGGACATGCTAATGCTATCGTTTTCTGATGGCTGTTATAACATTTTAAGGGAAAATTAATGTCGTCCATGTATGGAAATCTTTCCAAAAAGTTTAAAATAATTCCCATTATTAAAATTCCACTGCATGATGAACATTTATGTCCACCACCAGACCACTGTCTACAAAAAAAATCCATCAATAGCTACATGAACATGGGTCTACAGTGTACGTACACGGTTTTACATTTCACTTGCAAACAGGCATGACAGGCGAAGGTCAGAAGTTCTGCCACCCAACATTTCTCACGAAACGGTTGCAGTAGGTGGCAGCAATACCAACATCGAAGGAAAAGAACTTACGATGCGACAAAGTCATTGTGTGGACTCCCGACAAAAAAGAAATATAGCCTATATTGTAGGCCGATAACTGAGGTACTTTGAACAGTAAGTCGTGCAAAAACCATTTAAAAGTATACATTCCTCTGCTATCAGAATGAATAAATACTCACCTCAAAGAGTCGCAAAAGTGAAGAAACTTCAGAATTACCACGTCTGTCTACGCTTCCATTGACGACAAAATTTGACACATGCTTAACGCTTGCATGCTCAGCGCTCGCGCTCGCTCGTAGTCGACAGTCGTAGACGTCTACGAGAATTCGTCCCAACATTTGCCACAAGAGGGCGCTATATCACTACTTGCCAGTTTCAGATCAGAACCACCACGCGTGCACGGGATTGAAAACTGCAAAACTCCATATGTACTCAACAAACTTCACAGCCCCGGTGCGGGAACCAAAGTCCGTCAGGCCTCTCAAACAAAACAAATTGTTGTTTGGTCTTTCAGATTTCATTTGATCTTCAGTTTTTAGTAGTTTAACCGATTAAATTTTTTCATTATCCGCCAAAAACAAATTCACCCCCCCAAAAAGTGAAAGTTTCCAAGTCTGCCAGCAACCATTTATCAAGTGACACCCTCCACTTTTTCTGGCCCAAGGGACGATTTCTCAAGAGCATTTTTCTCTGCTTTGGCCTCGGATGGGAGCCCCTTAGTCGATCTTGATTCATATTTACACAATCCTACTGTGTTAACAGGAGTAACCCCGCGAACGCACCCTGTATGAGACCATGATGAGACAATTTACAAGTAGTAATGATAGTAGTTATGATTTCAGCACCCCTTCCAGTGCACCAATGGGGCACAATAATACATGTAATGTCTCCCACCATGTTAAAATAGTAAATATTGCAAGATAAAGTTTGTAAATTTATCTGTTTTCCTTTTTTATTCCTGTATGTAACAGCCAACACGCTTTGTACTCCCTTGTGCGTAGTTTTTTAATTATCAATTTTCTCTACCCCTGCACTTAATAAGGCAAATGCCCTTGGCTGAAGAATTTTGACCCTGGGTGAAAAACCTGTCTCGTGACAAGCGGAAGACTGGTTCTAACCGCAAATAATCTTTACGACTGTAGTTAGCTAGAGAACTCTGGAAACCATTCTGTGTAGCTCTTTCTCCCTTGGCCTAGAGCCCAGACCACGGCAAGCCCCAAACCACGGGGTTAGAGCCAAACCTATTTAGGGATCAGACTCTTAGCAGTACACAACGCAGTTCAGTCATGTGATGTGATGACTGGTCCGAATTGCAAAACAGAAGTAAGAAATGTCAATAAATGAGTTTATGGAGAGACGGATGTCGACATATGTGCCAAGATGATGATCGCGAATTCTAAAGTATCTGGAGATATTCCGTAAGTTGGGAGGTACCAGAGGACCATGGTATCATGGCGTTATACCGACGGATTTTCCCGCACCGTGACAAGAAAGGACGGTGGGGATTTCGACCTTGTCGTTCGCACAAAAAGGAATACAATTTCTCGTAAGTACAGTGCAATACAAAAGTCAGAAGATCTTGCTCAGTTCATCATGATTAATATTATGCCGTTCCTGAAACGAAAATCTTACGTTAAGCATATAAGTATATCGTTGACATTTCTTGACCATACATGGCTGTTATTTTGTGTAACGAAGAAGGGCATAATCAGATGATGGGAGTTCAACAAAACCAAAAGAAATGCTCCAATTAAATTTTTGCCTATCACGGCCTATTCTTATTTTTATGGGGTTAGGCTGCTTTGAGAACTCAAAAGTCACTACTCCGTCATACATGTACTCTGTGTGACTTTGAGCCAACACACGGTTTACTTGGTGTTGTAACGCTATGGGGTTTTGGAATCAAATTTTTGTGGTGAAATGGTTCACAGGTGTAAGAAAGCTATGATAACAAAGTTTCAGAGCATGAGACGGAGTATTTTTGAAAAAAAAAAGCTTTTTGCACACCAATTTCTCGCTTCCACCCGATGATTGCCACTCTGTTCATGCCGTTCGTGTTTATCAGACTGTGCATGCGTCAAGCTCACCAATAACTGCGCCTGCTCTGTATCTTGGTTTGGCCATTTTCTGTGGCGAAGGATGACATCTTGTGTTGTTTTCGTTGTGGGACCATCCTGGCTGCAACTGTGACTGGTAAACACCCGTCGGGCGGGACGTGTTGATGCGCAACATGTGGCTGTGACAGATACCAAGACTTAAAAATCTCCCCGCCACTAAAAATGTTGTATTATTTTACCAAAAAATTTATTCCACAACCCCAGAGCATTACAACACCATGTAAACCGTGTTGACTCAAATTCACTTGGAGTATGACGAAGTAGTGACTTTGAGTTCTCAAATTAGGGTGAGGCGAAACTGTCGACAGCATTTTCCCTTTGTAATATTTGCCCATTTGCAGTCAACCCTTTTTCTATCAGATGAACCCTTTTTGTATCAGGTCAACCCTTTTTGTATCAGGTGAACCCTCATTGTAATTTATTGCTGTAAAGAGAAAATTCTGATATCTCAACATGCCCGGTTTCCTTTTTTATTGCTTCTGATCAGAAATTACTGTTGGCTTATCCCAGTAGCTTTTTGATAGGTCTGGTGAGAGTTGACTTTCGATACAAGTGTATGGTAAATTTTTTGATTTCTCATTTCTAGATCACCAGAAGCGTTAGCATCATACAAAAGGTGAGTTTACTTTTTTATTATGGATAAGCCTTCTAGGAAAGAGTTCCATCAACTGTACAGATATTATCCGCCACCAGAAAGTGAAAACTTGCTCAGACCATTACTTAGTATTTTGTAGTACTGTGTAGTGTAAGCCAATCAATATGCTTGGCGGTTAGGGTTAAAGAATTCAGGTTTTTTGTTTTTGGCTTTGATGAGGTGGTCTTGTTTCAAGAAGTTATCAAAGATATTTACATGTACACTGTGATTGTACTTCTGCATGGAGCATTGGAGGTACTGGTGGACATGTGCATGTTAGCCATTCTGAATGATCGCATCGTTTGGCGATTCCAGGCTGTTTTCATCTGCAGTGTTTCTCCATGCAGAACTCATTGGCAGGCAACCGGCAAAAGTGAGCGGAAAATATTCTCCTCACATTTGATTAAGGGATGTGATTTCTCCAGGTTTTTTTTTAAATCCGTTTTTTTTAGGCCTCAAGAGTTGACCCTCGTGAAGCGCGCGAATCCGTTGAGAAAATGGGGGTTGCAACATGCTAATTAAATGTTCATATCGTATTTGCATGCATGCCAAAATAAATGAAAGAGTAAACTCACTTGACGCGTCAAACTTTCTCGTACGTCAGCATTATATTTACAATATACTTGTATACAATTTACTGTCCCTCACACATCCTCGTGCCTGAGAACGAGGTTTTACAAGATCGGTATATCGCGTGCATTTTATGAGTAAAATGTGAAACCTGGCACTCATATCGAGCCCAGCTGCATCGTACGTACGCACACCGCTGTGTAAACTGTACGCACACGATTTAACTGCACACACATGAGTGTACATCATGAGTGCACATGATGTACAGTTTACAACGTCAGAGACACCATGTCGCTCTCCAAGTTCTACGGGGAAATTCTCTCAAAAGGAGACTTGATAGCAAGAAAGCTAGATAAGCACGTCACCGGTAAATTTAAATGAATTTGTTTGGAAGAGCATGTCATGGTAGACGGCCTGAAAGTGCAGTTAAGCCTGAGTTTTGTTAAACCAGCAATCGCGGGAAAAGTGCTCTGCACTTTCTGCAATGATGACATCAAGTCCCATTTTGTTTTAGTGGAACACATTTTTGCAAAAACAACTGAAAAAAGTTCACATTTTTCTTAAGAGTGGACTGAGATGCTTAAACAAAATGAAATAAGAAATATTAATGTTTGATTTGTCCACAGTTGCTAAAATTACAATACAAAATTAACTTCACAAGGGGCAGTAATTTCAAAATATTTTTGCTTAAAACGTGCTCCAGAGAGGCTTAGAATGCCCCACAGAGCATCTAGACTTTAAAATTTTACGGAGCCCTTAAGCAGACCCTAGACCTCACGCTGTATTGGCTTTGCACTTCACTCTCACAGTTTCAGGGTTTTTCATGCTCGTCCAATCACATCCCTGTCGATTGGAAGTTAATCATAATAATCATAATAAATCACACTTTTTTGCTTGCGCAAAGTTGAGGGTAATACTGATGTTGCTTTGAATGTGAGCCCCACAGCGCCCTCAACAGCAAGTATGCAGATCTGATAGTGCAAAGCATCCTAGTCTCGTGACAAATGGTGCTGTTGGCCCCATGCCCAAGGAGTGTAAACCAACTGATAAGGTTGAATTACACAATTTTCCCCTTTCCTCCTGTTAAGGTTGTACCACTTTTGCGTAGAAATTGTATAATATCCCTTAATCATTGCAGTGCCCATCATGTACTAAATGAGCGCTTGACCGTGTCAATAAATGGCCGCTAGCACGTGCACTGAACCATGTCTGATAACAGTGGCATTGCTGGAGTGTCAGTGGCATGTGACAGGCAATGCAAACTCACAAAGTCAACAGCAGATAAGTTCTGGGTTGAAGAGTGTTTATTTATACAGCTGTTAATGATCAACAAGCACCTGCATATTTGATAATTGTAAATTTAATGGGTACCCCCACCTAATGCCATTAAGACCCTACCCCAAAAAGAATGTACATGTACAACAACACTGATTGGTTATGCAAGGGCTGGTCTAATGATTTATGCATGACCATCAAGGCTCATGATCTTGTGATGTTTTGTTGCCGGTAACTCCCTCTGAAAAAGAGACCATGGCAGTTGTATAAGAGTTGTTTACGCTTGTTGGAGTCGGTTACTGTTCAAGAAAATCCTTCTGCTGTCTTTTATTTCTTGAGTAAACTTCTGCTGTTTCACATCATAGTCTATCGGTTTTGTTTCTGAAATGTAAACCTGATGTACGTGAGAGAATTAATGTAGCAATTTTCACAGGATTTCCACATTCCAAATCATGAATTTGCTCTTTTTGACTTACTTTCAGGAGTAAGTACATGTATGTTGCTACAAATCTCACCACTTTCAGTTAGACTTAAAACAGTTTTCACGGCTTTCCGTACTCAGACCGAAATTGTCTTTGAGAACTTACACGCATGTTCTCTGACTTCTGCTATCCATGTTTGAAATCTTCAGAAAACAAAACTACACATTTCCATGTGTTTCAGTCCTTTTTCGACTAAAAACAAAACCACTGTCTTAATGTAGTTTCAATAAGCTCTTCACACAATGACTGCTGTTTCCCTTTCCAGATGTGATATTAAATTTTTGATACATATCCCACTTTATAGCCATATCTTGTTTCATGATGAATATAGTTTCAGTTCAAACTTAAAGGGTATAAAACAGATACAAAAGGTACACTTTGCATAAATTAAACTTTTGAATATCTTTATCGTAGCATTTAAAATAAAACAAAGTCTGATGAAGCTTACTTTGAGTTTGGAAAATGGTTCTGCATTCTTTTCAGGTTATGCACTTGAATTCTGAGATTTTGTTTAGGTTTCAGGTGACCGATCTCTTTATGGTCAAGACAGCTGATGAATACATTTGCCAGAATTTAGGCCGCTGTCAGTGCACGTGATGGCATTTTCAGAGAAAGTGCAGATGATTAATTTACCAAAGTGCATGTGACATTCAAGGAAGTTAAACTTTACTGTCAGAGGGCAAACAGTGGGGTTTGTTTCCTTTGGATAACAATGATACATACATGTACGTGTAACCCCCCCCCCCAAAAAAAAAAGCCAGGAAGAAAATGCTCAACATTTTTTCAGTTTTTCAAGGCATGCTTCAAATTAAAGCTTAGTTCGCTATCTTTCTTCTTCTTTTCAATTTTTACTGGGTTAACCATTGATTTTTGAAGATGTTTCTCTTCTAAAATGATCATTTGTAAAACTAGCAGCAAAGCCCATTGCCATTTTGGAAACTGATGGTCCCACTCCATGAGATTTCTCCGAAATTGAAGGTGACAGACTTGATTTTGGCTTTTATCCTGATGTTTTTCTAACCCTTCAGTATGTGATAGCAGAGAATAATGTCTGGGCATGTAAATTGTGATTCCGCCTAGCAGGCAGTTTGGAGCCTGCCCGGCAACCTAGGGTCTCCCTGTGGTCACACACTGACCATGCTGGTTACTGGGGTGCGGCTGGTTCAATGCCATGAATTGATCAAAGGTCACACTGCAGTACTGAAGTCCGTCATTGTTTTATTCAATACTCTTGGTGAGAAAAGCACAGCTTACACCTTATTGACTTTCCTGAGTTGCTTCTGTAGACTCCAGATTTTTTTGTGTAGATTTTTTTCTCATCTTTCCTGACTTTCCGTTGACTTTGTACATATCTTCTCTTTGGTTTTCCTGTCGGTTTCAACTAAAACACGGAAGGACTTGACTTTTGGTACTTCCTGTTTCAAATTTGGCTGGCTTGACACAAATTTTGTTTGTCTGTATCCTCACCTTTCTCCTGGAATTGTTTGTTGTCCGTCAGCCATTCACTCTTTAGTAAATTGCTTGTGTTTATTGTAACTTTTCTGAGCACAGCAATTCACCTCGTTCAAATACTTCTGCAGTGGATGTACAGTGTAGCGGTTAAGTTCATGTAGGGTCACTTTTATTTTACCTACTGAGAAAACATTTTACACTTCAAAGTGTTTTAGAGGGTCTGATAAAACCTCCCAAAACTCTCATTTAAGGTTTTACAATACAAGGAATATGAGGATTTAACAATTTTGTTAGTTGCACATAAAGCAGCAATTGTCGTGGTATGCTTGAATTTTGATTTTCTCAGTTTACTGTAAGTGGTATTTTTCATTACATGTACATGTCTGTCAAGCATGTCGGTGTGCAAGAGACCAAAATTTACATTCAAGCAATGTCTGTCTTGTACTCCGTAAAATGTTAGAAAAAAAAGGAGATGTGATGTATGTGTCATCGAGGACCAATTGAAACATGATGACACATCTAGGGAATCTGTGTATAAAAGTGTTGTCTCATTATGTTTGAAATGAATGAGGACCCGTCACAGCCAGTTATTCACATGTACATGTAAGCCTCTTTGAAATATTGCTTTTTTGTTTAAAGAGTTGAAAGTTTCTTCAAGGTTTTTTTTCCTCGTATAAACTCCGGGCGGGAAACAGCGCAGTGCCACCGAAAAGGTTTGCCAAATCACATGCCAGTGAATGGTTCAGATAAACCATGCACAGGCAGCAGTCACGTGAGGGGAGATTCATTGTGTGGTTAAGTCACAAGACTGTCAGTGTGGGCACACAAGGATAATTGATGTGTGTGGGCGTTCGTAATGTATGTACATGTACAGTGTGCAGTGTACATGTACATGTACTGTGCATGTACATACTCGCTGTGTGCATGCAAGGAGACACTGAACTTTTCAACCCACAACTGATTGGGCAGAGGTTGTGTTAAGTGCGTTCATGTGGAACATCATGCCCTAGTATTGCTGATATTATGCCAGTCGATCGAAATGTGCTCAGAGAATTCTGAAGAACGTGCACTGGTAATTCCCTTTTCAGAAAATCTGATTACCGTTCATGCAAGTAATGGACACCCAGCAACACCATCAGTAAAGCTTGACAAAAGTTCTTTTTATTACATGTTCTGTAGCTTATTTTTTATCAGTGATCAGAGAAATGTATTCCAAAGTTGTATACATGTAAGTTTGCATTTCATGTGGCCCTACTAGAAATAGTTTTCTTTCTGAAAACAAAACTACCTTCGAAATCAAGTGTTGAATAAACAGCTTTTGAATGAAGTTAGAAAGTTAACAAAGCTGAATTACGATTGGACTTTCATGAGTTTTGAGGGGAAGTTTTGTTATAGCATTACATTTCAAAATATTTTCCCTATTCAGTATTTTGAAAGCAGTAGTTTTAATTACAGGTAGGGTATTAGGCATTGAGTTATAAACATACATGTACGACCCATGTCAGTGAGTTACCCACGTACAGTATCCTTGGTAACTTGTGCAGTTATTGTGGTACAAGACCTGAATGCAAATGCTAAATTCAAATAAGGGTCCTCTGAAGGAACTTGGCAGAAGTGTCGTTAATCTTGTGCAAAAAACTGGGAAAATGACAAATGAGGTTTGGCAGTGTGGAAGACATTATATTGTGACAGTGTACACTTGAAGTCAAATAATTAACAGATTGAGGCTGATAGGACCCAGATTACGTGCATTTTATGAGTTAATTTATCCTCCTGTATTCCGTACATGTACGTGCACTCTCTCCACTTGTCTTGAGCTAAGTTCTGACTTGACTGATAAGATTCGAGCTGTGGAGAATTTCTGGAACAAACTGGTGGTCATCATGAGCCTGATGAGGTCAATGGAAGCAGATGATCTAAACCATGTGATTTTTAAGAGCTCTCTTGCTTGGAATGACTAAGGTCCGATACCTTAGTGTTGTAGAATTTGTCATATTTATCACTGGTTTCATTGGGACTTGTCTTCACTGGTCTCCTTTTCTACTTGTTGAGAGTCTCCTCTTTCTTGTCGTCACCTGACCTTGGCGATGAACGACACCGAAGTCAAAGTGGGGATTTCCACGTCGTGGTGAAATGTGGTCACCTCTGGCCGGTTGCACTTCCAGCACGGGCGAGGAAAAAACGAGAGTGCCGCGTCATTGCGCACAACGCTTCGTGTCTTGTGTTTCTGAGTCATGGCGGAGATGCGTTGCGTTGGCTCCGTGCCATGAAATCTTGTTACTGGTTTGTGGCTCTCTTTGATTCCTCCATGGGTGATTCACTTTTTTTGGTGAATTGGCACTCACTGGTATTAATAAATTACTTCACAAAAAAAGGTTTGTCTAATTTCAAACTTTTGTTTATAATTTGGTGTGTGCAATACACATGACTGACCATTCTTTCCTGTGTCAGTATGAGAGGAAAAAGTAACCGCTAAAATTAATTGTGTAGACATTGAAAGGGGATACAGAACATTTTAACTGCATGGCTCAGCAATATTAAAAGTACAATCTAAGTGGTACGCCAGTCAAGCTTGTTATTAAACAAAGAAGTTTGGAGAGTTGGATAAGACTCTAAAATATTGCCAAGCAGTTTCGAGGAAAAAAATCAACAAACAGAATTTAGACTGTCGTGAAGATGTTGAAGAAGTCGCAGTCGACCATCCGGAGGGAGATTTGCGATCCACCTCCGAGCAAATGGGACACATTCAAGTGCCTTATTGGAAAGTTGTCAAGGGTGGGCTTCTCAGACTTCAGGGGACAGTCAGCTGCAAATCATAATGTCTTGGACGAATGGATGCTTGAATCTATGGCGCAGGCTTGTTGCAGGTACGGCACATGCCTTGTTGGGGCCTACTATTGCAATCAAAAATCACCAACGCTGAGCCAGTTTTGGGAAAAAAATTTGCACTTACAAAGGTGATGTTTCTTGTGGTGAGCAGTGACCTGCTGAATTTGTGCCAATCTACAATGGATGTTTTTTTACAGATAAATTAAAGCTAAAGATGGAGTTCCCTTCTTTGTTTTTTCTGCAGCTGGCAAACTCCCGAGTTTGACCAAGACCAGATCAGGCTTATTGTATTCAACGAATGCGACCTGAAGGGACGCAAGCTTCTCTTTGATTCCAAAGCCATCAAGAAGAATGAAAAGAAAGTGGAGGTGAGGGGGAAACAGTGTTGTAAAATGAGTGAAAAGAAGGTTAAATAGCCAGACAGCTTCAGAAATAAATGCTTGGCAATCAAAGCATGTATACCAGCTACATTTACATGCACTTGTTATGTCATTCTAGTTCTCTTCTTCAAATTGAAACATGGTTAATATTGTTTAGAAGATAATGTTTAAAGTTGGGAGTTGACCTCGTAAATTCCATACTTGATTTTGTTTTGGTGGTCATATGTTTACTTGTTTAACAGTCCTCACCTGCCAAGGGACAACCACGTGTTTTTGGCCGGAAGCTGTACAGCAACGCTGGTGGAAAGAGCCACCGTTTGGAGACCCAGCAATCGGAGACCACTGGTAGCCCAAACTCAGGGGGCGAGACGAACAGCAAATACGTAGTGAGTGTTGGACATCTTGGAAATTTAGATGAAAGGTCATAAGGTCATGTCAGCAGGGATCACATTTGTAAAGTTCTGACCATTCCAAAATTGTTTGGCAGATTTGAGTGATAAGTAAACATAGCAGGAAACCAGCTACAATCCATATGCCTTGTGCAGTATTTTGGTTGGTAACCATCTTTCATATTTTAGTTAGCAACATCTGATTCTGAATAAAAATGTCACATTACTCAGTTACAAGAATTTCCCTTTTTACGTTGTAGTTTTTACGTCCAAGCCCGGATATCAAACTTCTCGGGGAAATGATGTACGGGTCAGTGGCCATGGCATACCGAGGGTCAACGATTAAAGTTCACACTATCAAATCACCTCCTGAGCTCATGCTGTCGCAGGTCTTCGTCCTACGTCCCAAAGAAAACTTGTAAGTTTGAACAATATCTCTAACCTTAGCCCTTCAGGATTTTCCTGACATTGGTTGCCTGTACCCAGCCATCCTCAGACAGAAGGCATTGGTACAGGATAATTTTTAAAGTATCCTGATTGGACAGTTTGTGTGAAAGTAATTCTGAGTAAATTACCTGGTTGTTAAAAAGTACATTTACATTTACCTTGGACATCGGTACACCCATTTGGAAGCGCGGAGCAAAGTTTTTGTTGCATGTCTCTGTCATGAGACATGTCTCTTTTAGTTTTGATTTTCTTTAAGAAAAAATGTTATTTTCCCCAGGGATCAAGATAATATCAGCCTGGCTCCTGTGGAATTGATGGTCCCACAACGCACACAGAGCCCAGCTAGGGAAACCATTGGTGAGTGATGACCAAGTGGATCACCTAGTGGAACCCATCTCTCCCTGTCGCACATAGCACAAACCACCCTATTGTGCCTCGTGCAACCCAATCAAGTAACCACTATGAAGCAACCTAATTACCCCGTCAAGGAACCACTGTCAAGTAATGATCCACCCAGTGGTACCCAGCTGTTCCCATTTCAATTAAAGTAACCCACTCTGTTATACCCAGTCAAACCCAAACTATAACCCAAGAGACAATCTAAACATTCCACCCAGCTCTCCCAACCCAAGTAACATTGAAAGCAACCTAGTTTATCATATTGTGGTTCAAGCGGTTTAATTGATCAATATAAAGCCATCATTACTGTAGTCAAACTGCATTTCATAGAGCAGTTCATTTCATCTTAACCACACATTTTGACAAAGCCGCCTTCAAGAATATCACACGATTTCACGATCTCTTCTCAACAGCCCACAGTCTGCCTGTTGCGGTTCCTCCCTCTTCACCCTATAGCAGCATTGATGAAGACAGTGGGGTTGTCTCTGGTAGGTTCAGCACTAAAATTATTTCTTTATCACACAAACTGTCACCTCACGAACACTTACTGTGGCAGAACTTCTGCACTCGTTTAAATATTGAGAAATCCTTTAAGCTCTGCAGTCCCCGAGGTCAAGCCACATGCTTTCGCAATTTACCGTAAGGAAATTACCGATAGATCATGTAATACTGAGCTCACAAGAAATAAAGATTATGGTTTTTGCCTCTAAGTCATGTGCAACTTTAACAAATGCTTTTTGGGTTGAAAGGAAGCACCCAAAATCATCAAAAGAAGCGGTGCCTTGCTCAATGTTACACTAGTCACAGTCATGTTGGAAGCTAATGCCATTGGAATGTGGATCGCTGGACGCTTATTTGTAAACAAGATCAGTCTGCGGCTTTGTGCGGGAAAAATAACCAGACTTGTGATTCATGAGTGAGTCATGGACGTTGGGGTTGAAGACGATAGGATATGGCTGGCAGGGAAATCCGTAGGATTGTGGCTGTTAATTGCTGCTTATTTTGGGGGAGATGTGTATCGTCGGATGATTAATAAACTTGATGGATGTGTCATTTCCCCCAACACCTCTGCACGAAAAAGAGGAAAAAGTAAAAGAATTTCCAGAAGATCAGTAAGACATGCTGTCGGAATATCTTTCTTACTGAACCTTATATAATTTTGTGAAGTACGTTTTGCCATCCAAATTTTACCTTATATGCCGCTAATCCATAGGCACTTTTTAATGTTTTCTTTCGACAGTTCAAAGAATGTAGAGAACAGTTGAGAAAAAAGTTTCATTTTTAAATAATGTTTTGATTGATTTGCAAATTCTGACCATGTTGTCATCTATACTGACCCTTCAACTTTGACCTTTTGACCTGCAGGATCCAGCAGTAGTTTCTTGACCCCGTTTCCCTCGCCAGGAAGCAGCGTCTCCAGCAGCCAGTCTAACAGCTTTCATCGGCGTTGGATGCGCAATCAAGTCACCAGTATGGAGCATGGAGTGCGGCGGAAGTCATCACTTGAGACACTGTTGGTGGACGAGGTACGTAGAGCCGCACTTTTCCAACGTTCTGGGAGGCATTTGAACTCAGGTAACCCTCTTTAGAGTGAAGGCTTCAAAACACTTCAACTTTTACATGAACACATTTGTCAATAGTAATTTTAGTAGAGACCTCTTTAGACTATCACAAGACCAACACAAGACCCCTAGTCCTGAAGTCATGCCTTCAAATCCCTCTGTACGAGAGAACGTGAAGGCTCTTGGTAGAGTCGTTCAATGAAAACTGGAAGACTTGGGGCTAAATGTCCAGCCGTTCATATATTTGCTTTATTTGATATTTTTTTCCTGTCTCGTCATTTTTGTCAGCCCATGAACAGAAGACGACATCCGAAGATTGGGCTGGGTGTGGTTATCTCCCTGCCTGAGGAGGCGGACCAATATCGCAGTAGACACTTCCAGACGTTCTTCTTCTCTCACTTCACACTGTTTGAGGGCCACTTTCACCGTCTTACGCTGGCCGTGGAGAAGGCGTTGACCTATCAGAGGAGGATGTTTATTACACCCATCATGGACGTAAGAGAGTGAAGAAAATGTCAAAATTATTTCTTCAGCAGAACTTAACCTTAATGCTGTCGGTACTTTGTAGCCCAAATCCTCCAAAAGTCTCCCCGGTCTTAAACCACATGCGCATTCCTGCTATTTGAACCTGCAAGAACCATCGAGCTCCAGGTTAATGAACAGTGTTTGGGTTCTGTCTTCCTCAGTCCTGCAAAGTTCCCCAAAACCTGGTGGATTTTGAAGGATGTGAGAAGATTATGGTGAAAGGGACTCCTTGTTTCAATAAGAGAGAAGGTTGTTCATTGCTCAAAGGACTTTTACAGCACATAGTCAAAGATTGGCTCATTTACACCAATGCCTTGCAAGGCTCTGAATCAATCAAGGACGCTCAGTTTAATGTGTCAGAAGATGATGTTGGTCTTTTTACACCTTTCAAAAGAAAGTCTTTTGCCTCTGCATTCTGTAGGCCCTTGATGAGTTTCGTTCAGTCGTCTATTCCTTGTACTGTGCTCCCCGCATCCAACGACCCATTTGGCTCAACATGATGACCTATCAGATGCAACGAGGTCACCTGTGTGAGCACCTGATGCATGAGATTGTAGCTGAGCTGGAATCCCACAACAACAAGCTGACAAACTTGTAAGCCACTCTCGCAACCCCTCACCAGTGTAACTTGAGTGTAACCTTAGTGTAACCCCATTTTAACTTCAGTGTAATCCTAGTGTAACTTCATTGCAGTCTTGGCATAACCTTACTGTAAGCTTGCTCTAACCTTAGGGTAATACCAATTTCATTGTAGTGTCACATCAGTGTAACCTTGGTGTAATCACATTTTTATCCTCGTTTTCACTTCTGTGTAATATCTGTAACCTTGTATAACCCGAAAGTATCCTCCATGTCATCTTCGTGTAACCCTGCTGTGTAATTTTGGTGCTTGGCAAGTGTTTAAGAGTAATGCTCCACTTGTGTTTTTTTCTCCCCTAGTTTCTTCAGTCGTCTGTTGACAGCCGTGCTCATGCACCATCTGGCCTGGGTGCCCACGGTGGTACCGGCCGAAGCCACGCCAAGCCGAGCCTACTTGGACAAGCACTCCTCAACTCTGGTAAGTCAATCGGCACGCTCTCACAGTAGCACGGCAATTGGGGCCAGGTTACCCCTTGAGGGCTCACTGTGAGAAACCTACACGAATAGGCCGACATCACGGATATCTTTATTTGAGAAAATGTGGCGCCGTCAAAAATGATTCTGCTTTCCCAATAGTGATTAGTTTCTTTCTCAGCATTGATCGTTAAGCCAACTTGAGCACATGGTAATATCTGAGTTTGGACGAGGTCACTGGGGCAGAAAAACAGCATGTCACAGACCGTTGTCTTACCCTGTCTCTACATGATGTTGACTTCCAGATCCCCATTCAGCCACGCGATACCTATCAGGATTAATTGATGTTATTCGTTGTAACAGTTCTGACTTTTTATCTCCCTTTCAGTTGGACATGCTCGCCAAGTCACATCCGTACAACCCACTTTGGGCTCAGCTCGGGTAAGTCTCAGTGCAGGTGAAGGGGATAAAGTTAGTAATCCATCACTCATCGAGTGTTTAACCTTTTCGCTGCCCAGGTGTCAGACACCTTTTGCATCAAACAAAAACTATCTTCTCGGTTATCTTGAAGGGTGCACGGCGAATATGGTGTGAGGTTTTCATTAGAAATGTCTGAATGATTAATCAATGTCGCAGCCTGTCAAGGAACCTCTCCGTCATGCCATGCTTATCAAATTTGCTTGAGCTGTCAATCGGCCAGCACTGCTTCAAGCCAGGAAATTGGACAATTACCAATACTGCTCAGCTTTCTCACATGGAGTGGAATCTTAATCAATGCTGACAGTGTTTGGTTGATCGATATTTTTTCTTGACATGTTGGCTCACATTTTCCTCCCAGGGACATCTATGGGGCTATCGGCTTCCCCGTGAAGGTCGCCAAGACGATTGTGGTTGGTCGCCGTGCCGACGTGGTCTGCCGCCTCCTGTACATCCTCAGCTACTTCATCCGCTGCAGTGAGGTTCATGAGATGCCCGAACAGCGGGAGAAGATCTACATGGAATACGAGGATACTTGGGAGCTGGAACGGATTGATCCAATCAAAGAGAATGCAGAAGGAGCCCAGGCCATTCCCAGAACGGAGGGGATGTTGTTCTCTGATTCAGCTGATAGTGGGCTGGAGAGCTCATGTGAGAGACTGCTCGAGTCTGAGGAGAGAGTGGACCCTGGAGCTGTTCTGAGCACAGAGGGAGGAACTGGAAAGTGCACCAATAGAGCAGACACTGATGAAGTTTTGCCAGCAGATGCACCCACATTGGTTTGTACAAGCAAACAGCCGTTGCCTGCCAAGGAAGAAGAGAATGCCAAGACCAATTTGGAGGAGGATACACAAAGTGCAGAGCAGTTTAAAAACCCGTCAGAAAGTTTGCCCGATTGGTGGCAAGGAGGAAGTGCCCTCGGGTCAAAGGTCAGAGGCCAAGGGCTGCTTGGGCAGGATGCCATACGAAGTCTTTCTACTGGGAACTTGAACGACACACTGCCTGATGGTCTATCCGGAAATCTCAACAGGTCAGCTTCTGGAGGACTGTATCCCGATCTGCAGGCGATCATGTCAGCCACTTCCGAAGAGGCCATCAGAAATGGAGATATCAGTTTTCGCATTTCACGGCCTCCTCAAGTTGGAGAGAAGAAACCACTGCCGTCAGTCCTACTGAATGATACGGATGTGCTTTTGCCAAAACGGGAGCGTGTCGTTGCCACCGGGAGAGGCGTTTCAACTGAAAGCCAAGATGCTTCCTCCGAATATCTCCCCATACGTCCCAAGACTTTCAATGAGGCATTCTTGGACTCAAAACGAGAGCATGTAGTGGCCGTCGGCCGGTCAAGTGTGCAGGTTGAGAAGCAAGCTGGACTCATTTCCGTCCACAATCGTCCAGAATTGGCGACGAAGGTAAACCTTGATGATCCATCCCACTTAAAGAGTCGGGCTGGCCATGATAGATCGCCTGCATTACTAACTCCAAAATCACCTCCTGAAGACTCTCGCACTCCTCAGGAATCAGCCAAGACGCCAACCCCGACCACTATAAACCTGTACCCAACCGTGGATCTGGGTAACCTGAGTGTGGACACCACGCCCGTGCCTTCCAACGACAACACAGACTCTGAGAGTCTGGATGGGACGCCCCCGGTACCGCGCCGGAACAAACGTTTTCCACTTACCAGCCCGCTCGCCCATGCCTATCAGGAAGCCGTGATGGCAAAAGAATCGAAGACTGAAGCCTCTTCCGAAGACACAAATGCAAATGACCTCAGTGCAAAAACACCGACCAATGACGGTGCACCGGACACAAGATGGTCGCAGACACTTCCACTTGGGCATCCACTCTCTGGTAATAGTTCTGAAGCAGAGTGCGCATGTCCGGCTGTTACACACCATCCAACGCCCCCACGCAAGCTTGCGATTAGCCAAGCCCCTTTCAGTGAAGGGCCAGGTAGTAGAGGGCAGCAGAAGACCCCAGTTCTGCACCAATCAAGCCACGAGATGTGGTCGCCCATCCGAAAGTACCAGAGATGTTTCTCCGCTGGGTCTAGCACTTCGTCAGGTTACAGCGACACGACACCAACAGATCATGAAGAACTCCCAATTGCTTTGTAAGTCTCCAAATTGAATTTGTTTTTTGACAATATATGCATCAGTTGATGAGAATTTGTTTCTATTTTTAATCCGAAACATCATAAGACAGAGTGTTGATTTCAGGGGTTCTTTGTCTTATCGTCTCCAGTTCGGAACCGCTCACTCCGGAAACGGACCCCGGCGAAAGTTACGTGGACAACTTTGGCCGATCCCTTCTGGGTGGTTACTCCCAGACCTACATGCCAGACATGGCCCTGCATGGGGTGCCTGAGCTGGACCGTAAGCAGGTGCTGTCGGACCTGGTCCTGTCCTCGCAGGTAACAACCAGAACGGAGATGTATCCGTAGCAGTGGAAATGTCCAAAGGGGATGTGTTCACCAGAGCCATAATTTAGTCGGACAGAGCGTAGTTGATAAGGCTTTTTTCATGGAGTAAGGGCCTAACTTTAAAATATGGCAAAACTTGGCTGAAAATGGGTAACCAAGCAAAGTGTCTTATGATGTATGATTCTGGTGACAGGTATTCGGCATATGGATTTGCGAATCAGAACTTCCGCTTAGCAGCTTGGTGAAATGAATAACAGGGACTAGTCTATTCTCTATTAGCAAAAACCAACCTTGAATGAGCTGAGAACATCTTAGCTAAGCCAGTGTTTTCAACGCTCAGCAAATGTTGATCATGTCTGTGATTTTGGCCCCAGATGGTTCACACATTCACATCTCATCGATGTTTGTGTCCAACAGCATTCAGTCCTAGATGAGGACATCTCCGAAGCCGTCTGCATCGTGGCCGACACAGACAGCTGGACGGTGGAACTTCTCTCCAGCAAGAGGGGAAGTCCATCTCAGGACCGGGCCATCTCCTTGGAGGTTACCGTCGCGGATTGCATCGGGGACTTGCTGGAGTCTGTGGAGAACATGTGCCATCTGAGAATGCCCTCAGATTTTGTAAGTCACAGATGCCTCCTTTTCCCTCGGAAGCCTACAACCCGGCGGCCTTCTCTGTTGCGTTGTCCTTCAAAAACTTTGCCTTATTTTTATGACAGGCTAAATGCTAATGATTTCTTGAAATTGAGTGACATTCCTCAATAATTGCATGAAGCTTCCCGAATCTTTATCAGTGTCCTCAACCTAGGTTATGAAAATTATTTTCTCTTATAAAGTAGTTTGTATCAGTCTGTGTTCACAGACGACATATTTGCCCAGTTCATCTCAATTTCAAGATGTACCAGTCTATGGATCTAAATGAATATGCAAACCTGATTCTTATGTAATATTCATGTCTTATGAATTATTCATATTTTGGTCTTATAGTGCCTTATGCATCTGGAGGATCAGCTGCAAGAAGTGTACTTCAAGAGCACAGCTCTGGCGACCTACCTGGATCAGAACCCTCGGGCTGGTCCCAAGGAACTGACAGGAATCCTAGGATTGGATTCGTCTGATCTGCCCCTGCTACTGAGCGTGGTCAGCGTCCACTCACCCAACGTCATCCGGAGTGCGCTGCGGGATTTGTATGAGATCAGACTGGATGGCGGCAAGGCCAAGCTGAGTGATAGCAGTCTGTGAGCGAGGGGCCCGGAACCAGACTCGTGAGCACTGCTGCAGTGGTGCATCATGGGATTGATAGCAAGGCATTTGGTTTCAAAATTGTTTTACCTGACCCTGTACTGAAAGAAAGATGTCTCCAATAACTGTAGGTCGAATGGGCGAAAACTGGAACCTGGACTCTTAAACTACTGCTCCAATGCATCGTGGTATTGACGCCGTGCCAGTTGTTTCAATAGCTGGTAATCAGAGTTTGGAACTGAAGTCAGTTTGGTTCCTGTGACAAGGGAAATGGTTTTCAGGTTATTTATATATTTTCAATAATAATGATAAGTCTACCACATGAAGCACAAACAAGAATAAAGAACTAAGTCTCCTAAAATGCAGACAGGAAATGACCGGGAACTTTTGTTTATCTTTTAAAGGGATATTTTTATCAGCCTGCCGTAAACTTTGATTGAAGGAGGAAGTTGATTAGCAAAACTTTCTTCAGAAACTTGTTTTTTTAATACCCAGAAATTAGCCATTATAGACCGATTGTGCCCGCTAAGTCACATGACCTATAGTATAGCAAAGCAAAGTGTGTCACAAGTATTATTTAATAAAAATAAAGCCGCCAGTCAGTACTATTTACAAACTGCAGATTTGTTGGGTAGTATCATAAATTGGCTTTATTTTTGGGTAAAGAATACTCAAAAACACACTTTGCTGTGGGATTTGTTGATGTTTGATACCCACCATAGGTCATGTGACTTGGCGAGTGCAGTCAGTTTGTTAATTTGTCTCAATGACAGCAACACGTTGGAGCTGTTTCGGGAAGCATTGTCAAACTTGAAATCTTTGTTGGGATAAGTGTAAAGTCCTAATAGGCATGAGCAGTTTTTCCCAAGATCATGGCCAGTTTGAGGAGTTATCCCCAAAATGTTCTGGTATTTAGACACAGTCTGTTTCCATAGAAAATGGCACGTTCCCCCCTTAAGATAGGCATTTCTCCCAAGGTCATGTTCAAACCATTTCTGCTTTTCAGAGACTTTTTTCAACGGAATTTGGATGTCGTTTTGTCATCAAGAAATGGCATTAACCACTTTAAGAAGTCGGTTCATTTCGTTTTCTCCATGTGGATTTCTGTACAGCCGTTGTAAAGTTGGAACAAAGCAAATATAAAAAATGGATCTACAGAATTTGTGAAAGAAGAATAGCAACATTGCACCCTGAAATAGAAGTGAGACTTTAGACAACTGTTTTATGGGGGAGGTGTGATGTAGATGTAAAGAAAATGTCATGCTGCAATTGAAGATAAAAATGCAAAATTCAAATGTATATTTGTGGATAAAAGTTATTTATGTGTATGCTTGAGCAGGTCGGCATTAATAATTTCCTCATTAATTTGCAGGTTGTTGATCGTCTTTTAAGAGAGTAAAAGCGAAGAAACGCTTCTCTCATAATCAAAATTTTCCGACTCTCAAGCTGCTCAAAGACAAATCACTGAACTTTTATTTGTACTTAGTTCTCTCTTTTTTTGTTTTTATTGTTTTGAAATTGTGTAATTATTGATAAATGTGAACACAGCTGGCTGCCGGTTCATTTTGTATGATCTCAAAAATTGTTTATCCTAATTTTTTTTCCTCATTTAATTGGGTCCTTAAACATTAGAAGGAAATTGATGGGTGAATTGTGTGGAAAGTGTTAAATGTGCGTGCACTTCATTTTGAGAAAATCTGTGCACCGTGTGGGCAAAAAGCACCATAGTAAGTTCGAACTTTTGACCATACAAGATTTTGTTGACGGCTACTAACATTTTGTGTTAAAATGGGGTTAGAGATCGGTCAGAAGAATGGGCAGATCAGAAAATGATTTCTCAGCATCTGAACTTTGAAATGTTCGCCATCAACATGTTTCCGCATAGTATGATTGATAAATAACTTTGTGCCCCTTATTTCCTGGAGTAATTTTGTAGCAACTAATTTATAACATCAAACATTATTATGTATATCAGATTGCCTGTGATCATGATTTGAAAAAATGAATAAAATATTCAATATCAGACATTTGTGTGAGCTGAAACAATAATCGATAGATTATCGAATATTTGAATATTATTTTTAGAATTTGAATATTCGAATGCAAAATTCATGAAAAGGAAAGGAAATGTTTTTGTTTTTTAAATGAGAAAAATTGCACATGGAGGCTTGAGTCAAGCAGATTCAAATGCAAAGCGACAGAAATTTTACAAAATTATTCATTAAACCATTTGAAAGGAATAGAAATTTACAATAGAGCGAGAAGTCTTGTTCATCTCAGGAGACAGTGTTGGAAGTGAGAAGCTATTACGTTGATCATAATGTACAACTGAGTACATTATTGCAACTGATTTTGTACACGGTTTGTTCAACAATCTGCCGGTCGCACAACTCAATATTCAGATATTCGATCAAATTGAAGGTCAAACGTTCGAATAGTGAATTATTTGACCTGACTCCGCCCTATAACTGATACTTTCATTTAGGCAGTTGCTGTTCTGAAAATATCACATGGTGCTTTGCCTCTAGCAAAGCTCTTGAGTCATTGACTTTAGTAAGAGAAATGATGGAAACACTCGAAATACATTCAAACATTTCGTTTTTTCCTCAAATTTATTTTTTCATAACAAGTGCCAATGCTTTCATGGCTGTGGGAAAAAGCAACAAAATTTCAAAACCTCTAATCGGTGGCGATGCCAGCATGCAAAGTGTGGCTGTTCCCTTTTCATTCAGGCAGTAAGTCAATATGGCAGCAAGTCACTTGGAAAGAACGAGAACAGTTGAAGTTTTGGTTGCCAATCATTGGTTGGCTGTAGTCCAGAATAAATACATGCATACATGTACATAGCTCTCATTAACGTAATGAAACTCCGAAGTTTAGTGCTCAAGAAAAAAGCAAAATAGGTCTTATTTTAGGCTACATGTATATCTATACATAGTATTGTGACAGGTGTTATTTGTACATATGCGCATTGCCATTGTGCACATTCAGCTGAAATATAGTCAGGTTCACTACATGCTTGTTGAGTGGAAGAGCCAAGGTCACAAGGCACCATTTTCTGTCATCAGTTATGCACACTGCTGGGCCATGATGTACTGTACCTACATTAAAAGTTCAAAATCAGCCCGTCTTCTGTCTGTACCAGGGACAAAAACACACACCAGTCTGGAACCACACTGTCTATACTTCAAGCTAGAATTTAGAAATTACTTTGTAGGATTCGTCAATTAGCTGAGACCTAGTAATCTAGCAAAAGAATTTTGTTTACTGTCTGGCAATTTCAATTTTTGACGTGGCGAATAGACACAAAATATTGGTTTTCCAGCTTGCTCTTGCAATGGTGAAAATGACGGTTGGCAATACCAACCCAAATAAATATTAACAAGACAGTCTGGACAAGATTTGACTTGTGGCTTGAGAACAGTCATTCGTACATGACCCTTACACCAAAGAATCTCTTTATTTTGTTTTACTCATTCCATACAGTAACCCTAATGAGTATATACATGTATACATGTAAAGCTTTAAAAAAAAAGAAACCTTTTTTTTCAAATAAAGATATCAGCGGGTACATGTACCAAGCTCAGTGTAATACAACAGCATTGCAACAACTCTTCAAGATGAGCGACACTGGTTGCCTGATTCCTCTTTGGTCAAACTGTCCAATTAGAATGAGGCAGGCCCTAAATTCAACCACTCAGACTGGACCAGTGGATCATGAATATGTAAGATGAAGCATTGTTACAACAAGCAAAACCAAAAATCAGAATATATACACACACCATGATAACTATTGACATAGAACTTATTAATCAAGATATAAATCACGCTTGGTGCATAGAACTGTTCACGAATCATTCCATTAAAGAATTTCCATCAAATCTGCAGTGGCTATTTTAGCAGGAATGGCAACCAGAATACCATTCATTTAATCCGAAAACTTGACAAGACTAAGTAAAACAAACCCCCCCCCAAAATGTATGGTGAACTACGCAAACACAGCTCGCAGTCACAGGCAGTTTGTGAAAATGATTTTTATTTGTCTCAGATGAATCTGAAGTGTAGCTAAAAGCACACATCAAGAGATAAGTTTCTACATGTACAGCAAAGCACCAGTCGTTTGAAGTTTGTCTGGCTTGCCCTGCCTTCATGAATGTCATTGATTTCTTCATTGTTAGGCTTTTACAACTGACATCACGTAAATAGCACGATGACAGAGGCATCATGCAATAACCGGGTTATCACAGGCCATTTCAGAAAACCCGGCTTTCTTTTCACACCAGTCTTCCACATGTACCTGTATGTTCAAATTAAAAGGAACAGGCCCACGCTGTTTTATTTCAAGCATAACACACATCAAGTTGGCATTGTCCAAAAACCAGGGTCACAAAATAATGAAGGTGAAGTCCGAGACCGAAGTTGAACACAAAAAAAATGGCATTAATGTGTACTTTGAATATTTACAATGAAATGACGGTGGTTCGTTACTTACCCCTTCATTTCGCTTCTATCAAGTACTAAGTACACACAGGTACAAATACCAGTAGATCTGGTCCAGGCTAATTCTGAAGTACTCTCATTGGACAGTTTGCGTCCAATGGCTGTCAAAGCTGGTGATGAGGCACTAATGCTTGGCATCATACAATCCTACAATCCTTTGCACATTCAAGCAAGATTTTGCGCTGTAAGTGATTAAACTGATCAGTCTGTACCACTGGTCTTTGCCGAGACCTGTGAGTGTGCCTGATTCACACCAGTTTGCTCATTATAGAGTACTGAAGTGAATACGTCAGGCGCACAATCAGTGTGTAAAAGGCATTAGCGTGAGAACCAGCACGTGAACCAACGGGCACGTACTCCATTCGTTTATACTGCACTTTCTGGTTCACAGTGATGTCACACTTCGGTACTCTATGCTGCTTTCCAAAAAAAAAAAACGAACAACTTTATAACCTTAATGCTGGAGATGTTCAGAGAAATCTTTACTATCTTTTTAAAACAATCGTTTCTATTTCAGACCAGGTTTTTTTTTACACAAGCATCCCAAACTTAATCCTCCTAACCGTCAATGTTGGACTAAACAAAAAACCTTTCCAAATACTTGCAAAATAAACGTGTTATATAGCTGGCTGTTTCATGGCTTCATCACTGGTGATCTATAAAAAACACTGGATCAAGATTCAAACTGATTTTTCTTACCTTTCCCCCTAAATTTTCACTCCAAAATTAAAATTTTAAATTTAACCAATGTCTAATAAAAACCACGTGGAACAGGCAACTTTGTACAAAAATGACCCAAAACAACAAGCCCCCCCAAAAAAGAACACAAATTCTAGATTTATTTGGAAGATCCTGCCACTTGTCGAAACATTTCTCATACAAACAGCTTTGGTGAGTTTCTAACTGTTCAATACCTATGAGTTATATAATCAGATTTACCTTTACAAGGGTAAAAATTTCTTAAAACTCTCTAGACTATGAGCTTTAGCACTCTCCTCCAACATGTAGAGAAGCTGATCTAGCCACTGATTAAAAAAAGTTCCACAAGCAAAGAAAACTACGGTAAGCATAAATGTACACGAATGGACTTGTGAATAAAGTGTGGTCACTGGAGTAACACCGGGTCAAATAAGCCAGACAGATATAATGCCAAATTATGCCTACAGATATGAGCTTTAGCATGTGAGGGGTACAACAAAATTTAAAGAAAATAAATTTCTGAAGTTTGAAAATTTCAAGTTTCAAGTTGTTACAAGCAGTCATTTCACCTTTTTTGTTTGTTTGGTTTGTTTCTTAGCGGTTAAACAATGATATTCCATGAGACAACAATCGGTAAGTCTGGCATTTCTGTCACACTATTCCCATATGATTTTTTATGTCTTGCAAGCAGGTCAAGGTGTGAATGGGATTGGTTGGATGTAAATATTTTGCATTTCTGGTGACCCGTGTGCTAATCCAACCTTTTTTCGGGTCGCTTTGATCGTCACTACAGACATCCTGCTGCAACGCTTTCCAAATCTAAAATGCTTGATGTGAACATGGAGGAAGGACACAGAAGGAGTTACAACTCTGGCACTTCAATGTGCTGGATGGGAATTGCCGCCCGGTCAGACGAACAAAAGTAAACATTCCAAAAATGCCCGATTACTGCCAGTAGCTTAGCCATAGAAGTGGGGCCAGTAATATCATAGCAATATGTGGTGTGTTTTGTTTGCATTAAACTACAACTTATCGCCGTGACCAGAATACAGAGAGCGAAAAATCTCTGACATTAGATCTACTTTTGCCATCACGAATAAACTTTTTTTATTTATCCTCTGCAATGTTTGTAATTTTCTTTTGTCTCTCCCAAACATCAGTTTTCTAATTCTTTTTATGAATTTGGCTAAGACTAGCCAACAACGTGTTGACTACCACTGGGCAGTTAAGTTCATAACAAACAAAATGCGCTATTTCATCACAAGGAGTGATCATGAGATCTCATGAAATATCTCTTTGTATAAATGCTGTAATATAAATGATTCAAATAAAACTTATAACATCTTATAAACAACTTTTCAAATTTCTCCAGCAGAAAGCGTTCGATCAGGGCAACGACTGCACATGAACACTTAGGGCACACAGCCTAATACATACAAGCAACTGCGCAAGCATTCAATTTGATGTTGTTTTCAGAGCACCAACGATGGCACGAATATTCAACTTCTTATACTGCAGTACACAAACAGGATACAGACAGGTGGTGCTTAGCAAGCATTGGCTGCGCTCTGGCTATGGACATACCGGGCATGCCCGAGAGCGATAATTGGCCAGATGTTACAGCCCGGGCAGTTCAAACTCCTTCTGTGTCCTTCCTCCATGGTGTGGACAAGCATCGCATGACACAGTGTCTGCTGTAACCCATTTTCACTCTGTGGTACAAGGTAGCTACATGTAGGGATGCAATGTAAACAACCAGCCCTCAGGCAGTGACACCATTGTAAAGAACCATCCCACATAGTGCAGTATCCTCCACTCTGCAGGAAATCAAGGACACAATTCTTGGGACCTAAACTTTTCAGGGAAATGCGTCCAAAATCTAATGGTATCGTACGGTATCTTAACTGTGCCTTCCTCAATCCCGATGGCCCAAACTCCCGAGGGATTCGGAAGGATCTGGGAGGTTTTCGGTGAAATTGAGCCCTGTACACAAGCTTGATGATCAAGTGGAGAATTGGAACACATAATAACCGGCAGAAGCTTTGACCTGGACTGAAGCCTCACTTCTGGAGTAAACTACTGACATTCGTTATTACCCGGATACGTCATTCAGCACACATACTTCAACTGGCAGTTAGGACAACAAAATCTGGATGCAAACTCAGTTGAGGGAGCTTCGCAACCATTGATGATGACTACGGAATTGTATACGCTAATGCTTTTTTTTTTTACGGGGGGGCGACAGAAAAGCACTTCTGGTCTGTGGCGGCTTGGGCTGTTTATGTGAAGGTGAATCCGGCGTCTTGGTAAGTCAGGAAGATCTTCTGAATGGAGTTGAGGTAGGCGGCCGTGCGGAGGTCCAGGCCCAGGTTGAACTTCATGGCCGTGCGCATGATTTGCTGCGGAGGAGGCAGAAAGCGAGTCCGGGAGAAATTATCTTGGGTGTCAACAGCGCCATCTACTGTCCGACAGGTCTAAGCCGCCGTGACACAATTGCCGTTATCAGCACAAAAAGATTCGGATAATTGGGGTCAGGAGTGGCCATCCATCAAAACCAAGTCAAAGCAGCATTTCAGATACCAATATCAAAAATCAAATAGAGTTAGTATCTTAGAAACAGGAGAAATTGTAAGTAATGACTTTGCGAGCATCGAACAGAGACGGATTGACAGGCGCTATTGCTTGCTTGGCTTTACGTCTCCTCTTTCTCTAGGTGAACGCGAGGCCGGCCCTAAGGGTGGTGTTGTAGATTTTCTCCAGAGAGTTGACGTAGGCCGCCGTGCGAAGGTCCAGGCCCAGATTGTACTTCATGCCTGTCCGCATGATTTGCTGATGGGAAACCATAAAAGAAGATGCCAGGTTTTCAAATCACAGCGATCCCCTCAGAGGGCAGGCTATTAAAGAGACGACCCCCCTCTCCCCATTTCATACTTCCCCGCCCCCGACTCTGACTGAGATGCAAGGCGATTGCATGCATGCAGAATGGATGATTTGTTTAGGCTCGGCAAATGCATTTTCCGACACTGCGGCAAAAAAAAACCGCCTACTGTTGACATTCTACATCCGTGCAGCCACGTTTACTAAACAGGGGTGACAACCTGTCCCAAGAGACAATAAATTCTCAAATGTTGTCCTCTGGAGGTAAATGGGCATGCTGGCATGGCTGGTGCCTGTTTGGGTCGCTGTTCTCTCTTGGGGACACTGCTCGGGTGTAAAATATGGGAGAAAGACGCAAACGTGTGGAGACAGTTTTTTTGTGCAGATTTGACTGATGCTGGTCATGTGACGCTGCGCAACTTGTACCATCGAGCAAGCACCCTCAGCCATTTGTATGTGAGCAGATTGCAAATACGCAGCGCCCTCTTGTGTCACTGCAGAGGTGTGGACAAGTTTTCGAGTCTATGCTTCAAAACGCCCGGCGTGGTGAACCACAGAATGGAGCGAGGGTTGCGGCATGATTACGATTCGCTGACAAGATGGGCCATACTATGCATGAGCTTACTTCAAGCAGGGCACTGTTGGTAAGGAAGAGGCAAAAATAGAGAAAAAGAAAATGCGAGAGATTGAGGTTAACTGGCATGCACTGCATGCATGGATGTTGAGACCAGAAGGGGGGGCGGGCATGACTTACATGTAGAAGGACAGTGAAAGGGGGCAAGAGAGATGCCAGGTATCTGAAATGCTGATTGACGTAATTAAAACATGGTGTCGGACATCTGGCCATGCCACTGCAATTTCTGAAACACAAGTCTACAAAACTCTTAAACTATTCCTCACACAAAATGAGTAGCATTCAAAGCTTGCGGGTGAAGGGAAACAGAAAGAAGTCCCTGTGATGGGTAGGAAAATTGACATTAGCTGAGCAAGCACCGGTAAAAATAATACAACAGGTGATAGGCTGTGATGGATGTTAACTATTATGAGCGTGCGTACATAGCGGCAAATCACACCACAGTAACTGAAATGGTAACCTGAAATAAGTTGAAGAAAATAAATCAACTTCGGTTCACACTGAGGACACTCTCACTAATATTCAATAAACAAGTAGATCTGGGGCCAATTTCACAGAAATGCTTAAGCACAGAATTTGCTTGCTTAATAAACAAAGGTTACCAGCTCAAACTCTATGTGATTGCCATGCTAACCAAAAGACAGGTAAATACCAATCCAAAATGATATACATCACTAGAAGTTTTGGCTGGTAACCTGATTTGTCAAGCAAGGTTCTTCACGCTTAAACAAGTTTTTCCCTTAAGCAGCGTAATGAAATTGGCCCCTGGTACAGGTATACATGTATGTGTATTAGATTTACAGTTAAAGCTTATGGAAACAGGTTCATTTGATTAAATATCTGATTCAATTTTCTGGGAAATGTGACTATTATCAGTGATCTGTTTCCATCTGAATGTCCACATGTTTTGGAATGAAAAGTCACACAGAGAGTGTATCGAGTTCTTAGTCAGTATACAGGCTCAGCGTGGTAACCATCTTGTAGAGCAGTTCTTTTGTTCCATAGAGAAACGTCCTTTCTGCATATCCTGTGGAACAAAAGCACTGGCCTGCAAGATGGCAGCCGTGCAAACCCTCTATTGACAATGTGATTGCACCAAAGTCCAAGAAAGAAAGACTTGAGACAGAAGAATGAACCAGGCTGCAGCATACACATGGCGTGCCTTAATAATGTTAGCATGCCAGCGAGTTCAAAAAATGTTCCACACTTCAAACAGACGATATTGCACTTTAGTACAACGCCAAGGCCGACCATGCCACCACCGACACCACTAGGCGGAAGATATATGTAGAGAAACTACAGAGCTCTACCGATAAAAAGATGCTGACAAAAAATGGTACTCAAACTATACCTTTTTCCTGCATGCCTTTCTTCAAAAATTCTTACCAGGGAAAGATAGGATGGTTTTAATGATAGAACAGAGATATTGAATCCTCCTTGAAACCAAGGGCTCTCCTTAATTTAGCAAGACATTGCCAATGAGTAACACTGCAAGCTGTGGATTATACAAAAATTCCCTAAAGAAAACCTGAATTTCTTAGAAGTATTTTCAGTGATTTGATCATTTATATTCCAAGACTTTTCCAAACATTTTTGAAAGCAATCACAGAAATGTCCATGATCATTTAGACAATTTAAACATATTTATTGAAAGGGAATTTGGAAGGCATTCAAGGCTCTTCCTAAGTTGAATGTGAGATTCTAAGATTTGGTGAGTAGTTTGCATGATGAGTAAAAGTCATAACTTGAGTAATTATCCACGACAACTACACATTTTGAACTCTTTTTAAAGAAACCTCCAATAGACACCAAGTTTTCATCCTTTGTGATCAAATAATCACCGGGTATCAGACCCATTCCTTGAATTCTGGACTTGTTCAGAGATTTCCACGACAACCAACAAGCACATGAAGTTGTAACATCTGATCGCTTCGGGAAAAAGTCTCTCCAACTGCCATTTTCATTTCCTTAAATGAATTCCTGGAAAAAAATAATGCAGATCCTCCCAAGGTACAGTTTGAGTAGAATTTTTTGACAAAGCAGCTGCAAGAAGAAAACAGGGTATTACAGTTGCTGTGTGGTTGGCCCGTCTACCGTACATCAGGGGCGAGGATATGGGTTAAAATGTAAGGCCGGCATCGCGATACGTATTAAAGATCTTGCTGACAGCCGATGCGTAGGCAGCGGTACGGATGTCCAATTGTAAATTGTGGCGCATGGCGAGTCGCATGATTTGCTATGAACAAAAAAAAAATGGGTGGGTGAAAAAAGAATTACCTAATGATAATGAAAATGAATGATGCACTGCAATGGATGGTATAATGTACCAATCTTGTACCAACAAATGAAAAAAAAACGACGATTGTTTCCAATTCTCTCAGTTGATCAGTGTTGATGAAAAACTTGGATGCTGGAGGTTGTTCGTGAATGTGCATGTTATGAATATTCAAATGAAGCCATGTATTCCCTACGAGCGGTCGGCTTTGGAAGCAGTATGCTTTCATGCATAGAGCTAAAAACAAAGCAATAATGTCATCCAAGTGCTTATTTTGCTTAAATGTTGCTAACTAACACCTTTTAAGGATAACAACTTTAGCTTTCCAAGTTTCTCAAACAGACATGCCCGTTTTAGACGTTTATTGAAATAATAGTAAGCGTTAAGTACCACATAGGAAAACAAAGTCGGCCTCTAGAATGAGACTACTTGTCTTAAGGTTGGGACTGAACCACAAGTATCTAAGGCACCTGAGTGAACGGATGGAGGGAAGTCTGCTGAAGAGAGCAGCAAAGAAATGGTGGGTTCGATTCCAGCCTGTGTCATCGGTAAGTTTTTCCCCTTTCCGCAGGGTTTTTGGTATGAGGTTCGAATTTGCTGGGGGATTAACATGCATGTCCTTTTGAGAAACCTGGGTTAAGTAATTCAGTTATCGATGCAGGGAGTCTGTTTAACAGAAAGAGATTTTTTTGCAGGGAAGGGGGTGCCACTCTATAAAAGAAACTATACAAAAGAAGGCAAGCACTCTGGGAAGTTGCACAGGACCAACATAAGAGGGGTGCCACTCTTCAAAAGAAACAGGGAGCACTAACAAACTCTTAATGGGCACTTAAGTAAACAATAAATAGATCCCCTCTTGCAGAAATTGTGCAAAGAAATAACCCTTAAGTATGCCTCTTGAAAAGGCAAGGAGGAACCCCTGTTCAAGGATAAAATTTAAGGGGTTGCACTCTCAGAAAACTACCGGGAGGGCAATGACAGAGTTACAACCCCTTCTGCCAGACCTAGGAGTGTATCCCCTTTTCTTTGACTTACCCGGGCAGAGCGTTCCATGGTGTAAGCCAGGCCACTATGCACAATGTCCTTCTCGCTGGCGCCCGAGATGCGATCCGAGAACTTCTCAGACGGAACGATGGGGATGCGACCGCCGTGCTTGCCGAATTTCCTCTCCAGGCTTTCTTGTACGCTCTCTGCACAGGCAAACCAATCCATCATTCCAACCAATCAGTACTGACCTTGCTAAAACTCAGAGAGAATGAGAGTCTCGCTTCATCTCACACCCTTCTCATCTGAGACACAGCCAGGCGAATGGTTTACATACCATGACGCTCTGTGACCTACTTGCTAAAATGTCCAGAGGTTTTCTTACTTCTAGTTGAACCAGTTCAACTGGTCAGCAAAAAAGACAAGTTTTACACTCCGGAAGACTCACCAAGCAGGAACTGATTGGAGTCCCTCTCATATTTGAAGGTGAGGCGGCCGTAGCTGACGTGGTTCAGGTTTTTAAGCCACTCGAAATACGAGACGGTCACACCACCAGCGTTGATGTACAGGTCCTAGGGGAAGGGTGGGTCCACAATCACAAAAATAAACATTGATTCTCAGTTACAGACAGATTAAAGGAATTCTGTTAGGAATGTGCTCTGAGGTGAAATAGGTAACGTTGGCTGGCAATGAAAAGTAATAGTAACAGAAACGTAGTGATGACAAAAAAAAAAGTCCGGTAAGGTGAGATTTTGTGCATTTTCTCAACCCTGATTGCAAGTACGGAGTATATCTTATGGATCAGTAACCAATGTACTTATTTGACAATGTAGCCAAGTGCGTGACTTTCTTTTGACAGGACCTCTGGCAATCGCAAAGAGAAGCAATCTGCACAGAAAAGACAGATTTTTGCTTCATGTATGTGGAACTGTTGGCACACCTCCACGAGTGACACTTGAAGACGCACCGTCGTTGCACAGCAATGCACACATAGGCACCGACCTCTTGTAAGGCCAACGCAACGAGACAGGTCAACGACCCCCCTCATGAGACTTCCAAGGTGATCCGTGGACAAATCCCCACACCACTTTGGAGCCTTCTGTGCTCACCAGATGCTACGGCAGTTTTTCTTCCCCTTTCCTCACATGCTTTGACAAAACCAATGGACAGCATTTCAGATGTACGATTTGATATTGCCGTCATTTCAGTGGAAACATGTATTCAGAACAGGAAGCCAATGACCCAAAATCGGACGTGGCGAGAACAGGAATGATCCATCCTGAGCAGAACCACGATACTCACAGGAATAACCATGATGTTCCTCTCCTGAAGGATCTTGTCGGCAGCTGGAGTGGTGGGTCCGTTGGCACCTTCGGCAATAATCTGCAGAAATACAAAAACAAATCAAGTGAATAAACAAACAAATACAAACACGGGCGTAGAATTATTTCCTGGGGGAGGGCTAACCTCTTGTTTCCAACTGTTTTCAACTTTGTCTGTTGGATAACTGACAAAGTTGAAAAGGCAGTGTTACTTCAGTGACATTTCGCACATGCACAAGTCACAGCTGTTCTGAGTATTTGAGGCATGTGGACATTTGGGTTAGTTGTAAACACCCTGTTGATTGAACAGGAATTAGTAGGCACGTATGACCAACGTGTAAGTGATCAAGTGTTATGATTTCGAATTCTGTTCACCAATTTAGTCCATTAGCTCGTCGGTAAGCTAGCCCGTGGCATTGCTGAAAAGTTCAGCATGAAATCCCAATGTGTTACGGAGAGAAATACAGTCAAACACAGATAAGAAGAGCACCATTAATACAAGGTCACATTTATAACAAGGACAATTTTGGGCTCCAAGTCTTTCTTTTCCATTACTGATAATACAAGGTAACTATTCCAACAAGGTAATCTGTTAAGTCCCAAGGACTTTGTTCTGACAATGTTCCACTGTGCTGGGGTGTGAGGGCCTACCCGTGCTTTAATGTGGGGAGCGTTCCTGGACGTGATCTGCTTCTCTCCGGCACAAGGTACCAAGATGTCGCACTGCTCCACCAGGAGATCGCCATCGAAGGGCTCGGCATCTGGGAAGCCAACGACGGTTCCGTGTTGCTGTCACAAGAAAAAAATGGACAGAAGCTGACTTGAAACACCCAATGGATGGGTTTGAAATTCCCGACCTGCAGGAACAAGAACTTTTACCAAGGAACAACCCAACTAGTGCTACACAAGTCTGTAAGACTGTTTCATCTCTTACACTGTCATTACGAAAACTACAAATGTACATCAGAAATAAGTCATAAGTAATCTCAAGTAATCATTCAAAAATATTGGTGTGTGATCGAGAAACATGAGCATAGTTTTTCATTTGTTCTCTTCAAAGGCTGGTAATTTTTTTTTAAAACAATTCCACACTACATCTTGATAATTCCACACTAGTTCTTCTTCTCAAATTTTCCACAAGCATGTGTTTTCAGCCCACAAACCTGGGCCATGTCTGAATAACTAGGCCACGTCTTGAAATAAGACAACTCTATTAAAAGAACTGTCTGAAGCCACTCTGGTAGACCTGTGAGCAGTTTGGAGTTGCAGCTAAGTGATTCAGACAGGGACTCTAATTTCAGATTAGGACGTACCAGCTTGTAGTCTTCAAGGTCTTTCGGGTCAATCCCGTTGTAGTTATAAATGCTGCCATCTATCTCCATAATTCCAATGCAGCGAGCACCGAATCGGTGAAGGTAACGCATCGTGTGTAGACCCACATTACCAAAACCCTGGAACGAGTGTGAAACTAACATAAGCTTTCATGAATTTGACACCTGATTAAGGCTCCTGTGCTGCGTTGTAAGGAAACAAGGAAAAATTTGGTTTAGAATGAGAAAGGATTACTTCATCATGTTACCGATGACTGCGGTCCAGTACCCTGACTCACTACAGCAAATAGTACCTGAATTATGAATGTCTTATCACCAAAGCCAGGCGTCAGCCCCACAGTGCTCATGTAGGAGGCTTCATTGACAAAGTTTTCGATGCCGTGGTAGATGCCACGGCCGGTGGCTGAGATACGTCCGTGGATGCCGCCCTGCGTGATAGGCTTGCCTGTGATGCAAGCATGGGCGTTGATGTCTTGGTAACCAACAGTCATGGCGTAGGTGTCGGCTATCCAGCTCATCTCGCGCTCACCGGTGCCCATGTCCGGGGCCGGAACGTCAACACCAGGCCCTGTGTCCAGAAAGGAAAGGTATTGAAGAAAATCTTTGGGGACAGAGGGTTAAACCACTGGCTTAAAGCAGTCACAAAAATGTATTTATCCTAAACGTACAAAATTCCCGAAAAATAGACCAATCGAGTTATCCCCCATCCATGGTGCACATGAGCAGTTAATGTTACTCCTCCCCAGTGCCATACTGCATGCTGTGGCCGTGTATCAAATGCATGCACACATTCATGTCAGACTTGTCATACATGTCAAACATAAATCACACCTGTGATTTGTCGAAGGACTTGGGACTAAGAGTTCTGTTCCTTGGGGTATGCGACATGATTATCTTAACATCAAAGCAGACTATCTTTGGCTGCTTGACTTTTCAATCGCTAGCCAGTTCTAGACGGTTTTTCCTCTTTAAAGATGTCTTTCTTTAAACACTAAATGCATGGGCACATATTAAGGGGAGGGGGTATCCGCTTCCAGCAGGACCAAGAGAGAGCGCAATCTTCCTAGCAATGGAGGCTCCTTTGGTGGGAATGCACTTCGCTGGTTCATGAACGACTATGAAAAGTGTACGTTATGGTCACATCGCTACTAACAAAATGAACACTCCCACTATCATGGCTCTTTTCAACCAATGAGGGGGTGCTTCTGCTCAAGGCAGACGTTCCCACCTCTGACTCGTTTTAGCCTCTTTCTCTGCTTTTTCAATCTCCACGACATCTTTGGCTCTGCTGCAGGTCGCACAAAGGCTGACGTGGTGGCGAATTCAGGATGCCAGAGGTAAAAAAAAAAGGGGAGAGAGCTCACGAACCCGGTTACCTACCGATGAATCCCTTCTTGGCCAGCTCCACGCAGAAGCGCCGGGTGATCTTCTCCAGCTCCCGCTCCGAGTACTGCTTGGGGTCGACCTTGATGCCTCCCTTGGCCCCACCGAAGGGGACGTCCACCACCGCGCACTTGTAGGTCATCAGGGAGGCCAGGGCCTTTACCTCATCTGCGTTCACGTCTGAGCTGTAGCGGATACCTTGGGGGGAGGGGGGAAGGTGCCAAAATCATGGCCAGTGAAAGATCCTGTGAATAAAAGCATCACCTGCAGCCAAAATGATACAGTGGCAGGCATCCACCTTCCTCAGCCTACATATTCTTCCAAAACCTCCTGGTGGATTCTGAAGTATTAGGAAGATCGCAGTTAGTGGGCCTTGAACTTGACCAAAAGAGGGTGCTATTCTCCCAGCAAAGGAGGCTCCTTCGGTCAGGACTGAACTTCGCTGGTTCACGAACGACTAAGAAATGCACGTGTTACGGTCACACTCGTATCGCTACAAACAAAATGAACACTCCCGACCAGCGTGGCACTTTTCAACCAATGAGAGGGGTGCTTCTGCTTGAGGACGATAATAAGAAACGTCTCAGAGTTGGAATGCTACGAACCATTCCAATGAGATTACTGCTTGTGCCAACCGGGCATACCCACGTACATTCACAAACAAGCAGAGTGATCTATGCTCCAACTGGGAACATATTTACAAATTCCCACAGGGTACATGCAGCGTTCCGTAGTTTGATTTGACTGAAGCTACATGTAGATGTGTGGTGACTGCTCACCTCCTTTGCACGGCGTTCGGTGCTGGCTGTGCTGGGCTCGGTAGGCTTCGATCATCTCAAATCGGCCGTCGTCACGCCGCAGCGGGAAGTTCAGACTCAGCACATTGTTACAGGGTTTCATCAGCTTCAGGATGCCTTGGACCTGTTGGAGATTGGGAATGGACTTGGTCAGATGATTGATTTTGTACTTCACCTGTTTATGTCTCCACTTTTCATTTGTCTCTTCTAAGATGTGTCATGTTGCTTGTCATTTCAACAAATTCTTCCATGACCAGCTTTCAAAATCATTTTTTTCAGTGCATAATGATCTACAGTTCTTCTCTATACATCAATCGTTAGTGGTTGCTTCCAAATTTTTGACAGGAGAAACTACATGAATGTAATGTCATAGAATAACTGAGTAGAATTTTGTGAATACAAGAAGCCAAGCCGAAGTTCTTTGTTGCTGTTCAATGGAGACTTTTAAGACGTTGGCAGCAAACAAGTACGTACTGCTCCTGTTTGCCACTGCCAAGAAAACATGTGCACAGTTCTGAGCATGTGCGCGTAGGCCTGAGCATGTGCACAGTTCTGAGCATGTGCGCATAGTTCTGAGCACGCGCACATAGTTCTGAGCATGTACGCTTAGGTCTGAGCATGTACACAGTTCTGAGCATGTGCGCATAGTTCTGAGCATGCGCGCATACATGTAGTTATGAGTAAGGACAAACCTGTGCATGAGGACTGGTTCATGTACACCTGCTGCCGTCAGCATCTCAAAGTTTCTCACTCTGCTCAGTTCAGTACGCTTTATGGTTAAATATTGGTTTGATGATAGATTGTGCTGGATTCAGCTAAGCACGTACATGTACTTAATAGTGGAAGATGAAACAGGGTTAAGCAAACTCGATGAGGCAAAGTCTCATGGGGGTGTCAAAACTGATTGGCTATGGCTGAAATAATGCACATGTCCTTGGAATCCACTAGCAAGCGGCTACAAGCATTCCCCCATAGATTCCTATGTTATTTAAAGCCTTAGCCGTACATGTACCTTGAGCCTCTTCTGGTCTTTGGACATGCTGCCTTTCATGTTGTCCACCAGCGTGTCTTCGACCAGGGCTGCTCCCCTGTCAAAGTACTCCTCCACCATGTCAAAGAAGTTGGGATCTGCCAGTGTCAAAGATCCAGATTCAAAAGAGAGAACGGAAACACTTCCATATATGAGCAACACTTGATGCCCCTGTGCACAAACCTATGAGACTTGTCTACAAAACCCACGTGTTTTCAAAGTAAATGCTTCGGCCTTTTCATTGCTAAAGTTTACCTTTTGGGAGATGTTATCACTTTCTAACGGCTATCGTAATATTTTTAAAGGAAAATTAGTGTTGTCCGTGTACGGGAGTCATTCCAACTTTCCAAGAGAACTCAACAGCTGTACCTGCTGATGGTTTGATGGTGGTAAACAGGACATTTATACGGGTGAATTTTTCTTCATTCTGATGAATTGAGCCGTGTAAAAATAGGAATAGTCTGTTCTCTTGACATCTGATGGTTGTCCGCACTTTACACAAATCCCAAATTGGTTCTTAAAACTGTAGTCTCAATTGTCATTATTCTAAGGAGGATAATCTGCATAGTTTTATGACTTTGCTCTGAGATTTGTCGAGATGTAGTACGGGCCAAAATTCATCCTGTACAGGAGGACCCCTTCTAAAAAAGAGTGAAACCTTAATCCCAACGCTTCCCAATCTCTCAAAAAGCCCTTGGAGGTTTATAAAATTTTGAACAATTCGTCTCAATTCACAAGACCATTTTAACAATCTCTACTGTTCATACATGTAAGTGACCCATATTTGCTGGTAACCTTCAACCCTTTTGAACAAAGTTCAGAAATTACGGGACGGACAAACTCACACAACAACCCCCCAAATATATAAATAACCTCCCAAAAAAATGAACACGGTATATGAGTGCAACATGATGTTTAAAAAATGTCACAGGAAGCTTCTTTGTAATTTCCTAAATATTGTCATCAAATTTATTCACTTCTGAGGAAGAAAAAAGTTTCAAAGGACCTTGTTTTCAGGACTACTCGGACAGTAATTCTTGATAAAAGGTATGCACTATTTGATGGCCACCAAGTCTCCCACAAGTACACGCACTACCAGCAAATAACTGGCTATTTAAGTGTGTCCGAGATAAGCCCTATGACATGAATATTCTTCAGCAGTTGCAAATCGCACTGATATGCACTGCAAACATTGCATTCATTCAAGGGCAATGCAGCATATGCAGGGTATACTTTATTGTAAGATCTTTCTGAAGTGCAGTCTTAAGTGGGAGACTTAAAATTAGATTCAGTTGACCTTATAAAAAAATTATTGTCATTTAGAGGACGGCGTCATAAACTGGAACATGGTTTCTCTTCTACACTATATAGTACTTTAGAAGGTACCTTAAAATCTGTTTCATTGTCGTGAACGTCTGAAGTACGTAGTTCATGAGAATTATACGAAGACTTCCTTTTTTATTTTTTCAGTAGACATGATACCAGAAGGCTGTGACACATTATTTTTATGTTTTGAAGTACATGATTTAAGGCTGTCCTTTTCACCAAAACAGATAACTCATTTTGCCTATAATCTGTAAGAGTGGCCAAAGTTTACAGCGATATCACCTTTTGGTTGGTTTTCGATTCACCTCCAATTTGTTCAAAATGGCCATTTGTCTCATTAATTTTAAACACGGTCATTTATTCATTTGGTAAAGTATGTGTACTATTTATTATTTAGTGTTCTGAAAGCTGTCATCAGTCCCAACTATAGTTGGGCCCGTCCCAACTAGAGTCCCAACTAGAGTGCTATAGTTGGGCTGGCCCAACTACAGCACAGAGGTCCAGTGTGCATGTGTCAAGCATGTGCTCAAGTCACATATTGTTTACATTGCCATGTCATAGATGAAGTGCCATATTGTAGATGAATTGTGTCAAGTGTAAGATGCATAAACTTGGATAGGGTTGAGTAAAAATTTCTATAGAAATTGGTCAACAGTAGTTGGGCCTGCCCAGCTACAGTACTACAGTTGGGACACGCTATAGTTGGGATGTAACACCTACGTCACGTGTGATTTTCATACTGTAAATTATTCTGCTACTTCTGTACCGATGGCCAATCACAGTATTAGCAGCCACTTGTACCAGAAAAACACGACTGCGACATCAAATGAACTGACCTATTGAAATGCAGGCCAAATACTTGAAATAGTCTGCCACTTCTGAACTGGGCAAACCTTTTGTAAAGCATATAAAGATACAATTTTGCCAAGTCCTGCATGTTCATGTCAAAAATAACAGCCAGTCATAAAGAAAACTTACTTAATAGGTAGGCCTAGGGAAAGAGTTCCATATACGGACGCCAGTAATTATTCCCTAAAGTGACCTAAAGCAAAAATATGTCCAGAAAAGTTCAATTTAGGAGGGAAAATACAAAGTCGTTTACTCGGAAAAAAAATTTGTCAAACCAGTCTGCGCACAGGTTATGAAGGGGTGTCCGTATATGGAACTCTTTCCGGGCCTAGTTTAACATGACTGTTAACAATAGCCACACCCCCCACAAACCCCACTGCCTCAAAATTGATATCAACTTTTCTGGTGTGTCTGGACTTTACTCCTAACCTTACGATTTAGCCCATAAATAAATAAATATAAATATACTTTCTATGAGGGTGCATACAGCGGTTGGAAACAAAAAGACACGTTGACCCGTACTGATAAATTTTCTAAGTGTACAAGATAAAAAGACGACGTAGGGCCTACGGAAATACCTTCCTCTTCAGCTGCACTGCAAACATTTCTCCGGGTATTCACTGCACTGCCACTGGCTCTGGAAAGTCCCGACAAAGTCAGGGCTTTTGCACCTTCCCTTTGCACGCTACTCGCCAAAATTCTTAACATGTTGATTCTACAAGTTATATACAAACACTTAATACTGATAAATACTGCCTTAAATTTCTTTAAAATGCTAAAAATCGCGGTTATTTCAAGACGAAAACTCTTCTGGCATGATCTCTGTCAGCGTCACGAATTTGGTAGGTACTGAATATTAATGATGTATGAGGCCATTTGGGAGGTGTGTTCAGACCTGAACCAATCAAATTGAACAAAGCAAATGACGTATTACATTTCTATCCGAAAAAGTTCGAAGTTCAACAGTTGCCCAATTTACTCTACAGAGGGCGCCAGCAACAATTCGCGGATACATATCCCATATCGGCGCTGCTCTTGCATACATGCAGCAGAGAAAAAACTCAGGAACTCGCACTGTCGCAGCCTAGCCGGGAGCTTACAATTACATCTTGTAATTTGTTGTAAAATTAAATGTCGAGGATTCCGGGTTGCAACAATTCAGGTACGTTGTGGTCAAGCTGAAGGGGTCTGTAAGGGATCAGCATGATCGGGGCTTTTTCCATGCCGAAAATAGTAGACCTCGGCCAGCAATGATCCACACTTTTACCACCAGGCCAGGCCTACCCTGGCCAGTGGCACTAGTACTACGAGGCTAAAAATATGCCGCCCAAGCAGGGCCTACCGTAAGTACATGTATGTAAAATGAGTAATTATCGTGATTTATCATGTTTATATTGGGCACGATTGGTCGATACGCACGATCGTTTGATTTTAGTGTATGATTTGCCAATGATTCCGCCATCAGCCTTCTGAGCATGACATGCATGGTAAAGGTTGGAAGTTCCATGCAGAATGCAGTTTGGTTGATCGCGCCCAACATGAAGATTGCATATGATTGATGACTTTAACTTTTTCTTCAATTGGTATTTTGTCACTGACAGTGAAACATTTAACAGTTGTTGCCTGCCGTGACGGGGTCCATGGTGTTTTGTATACCTTAGAGGGCAAATGGCACTCGATATGAAACCAAGGGTGCCATTTGGTTGCATATCGCTCGATCAAGTCTCGACCAATAGAATTCACTATCTACATGTACATGTATGACCATGGTATAACAGTGAAGAATGTACATGTACATGTAGGTCATGTACATGTAGGCCTACTAGCCTACCATATTCACGCAAGTATGGTACTAAACTCAGTGTGTCCATGCTTCATCAGCTTTCAGTTGGAGGCTGTTTTTATTCTTCGATGGTTTCAGCAAATATGTATTTAATAAATAAAAAAATGGATCGATAAATAATTTATGTAAATGTACATGTACGTACTGTAGTACGTATTTGTTCCAAAATTGGTTAAGATTCAGCGAAAAATCTCACCTCTGTGTCTCCCAAAAGTCCCTAAATCAGATCCTTATACTGGTATTCGATATTTTTTCTCTTCAAATCAGGGTTTTCCACCATCCTGAAAATTGGGGTAAATCTGGAAATTGGATTTCCTTTTTTCCTAGTTAAGGATAAGGCAGGGAATTACATGTAAGAAACATGCAGTTAGGGACAAGTCAAGGAATTTGATTGGCCCAAAACAGAAAGTGGTCAGTCTGTTATATTTTGTTCACATTTGGCCCATCTTCAACTGGAAACTCAAGTACAAATACTGGTAGGTTGAAATTCTTGGAATTTTGAAAATTCATGAAGCACAACTCTTGGAAAATCAGGAATTTTCAACATTGTGACTCAACTCGAGTCATAAGGTCGAGTTGAGTCAGATTTTTTAAGACTTGAGTCTAATAAGCTTGTACTCAAGTTTCCATGAGAGTCGAGTCCTTTGGTTGCAGAGACTTGAGTCCATTGGTTGCAAAGACTTGAGTCATTTACCCGTTGAGACTCGGGTCGAGTCACCCAAAATTGTGCCTTGAGTCAGACTCGAGTTGAGTCATTTACGTGTTGAGATTTGAGTTTGGGTGACTCGAGTCAAGTCATTGACTCAAGTCATTACAACTCTGGTACATGTACATCCCTTTGCAAAACATTATCATTAGATGAAAGGCCGTGATAATTGGTACCTCATTTGCTCATTACACAGCCTGGCACCAGCACACTGTATGTGCTCAGTGCTAGTGGAACCTTCCATGACACCGATAGGGGGACTAATGTCTCTGTGAATGCCCCAGTGCATCATGTACATGGACCATCCCCCGATCTCTCCATAACCTTGGCAAATTTGGCAGAAGTCTGTCGACTAGCCCGTGAGGATTAATCCTGAAAGCCCCCCCCCAAAAAGGTTGCCTGTGAGTGATGGCTGTCGCAGTCTTGTCTCGTACTTTCACGTTCCGTCGCATTTGTGCATTCCTGGGGTTCTGGTTTAATATCCCCTGAGCACATTTGCACTAGCCCGTCTCAACATCGGCGGCAGTGTGGTCTAGACCGTGAGACATTCTGAGATTGACTTATTCTCCACGCAGAATTGGAGATTGGGCATGTTTCTTGGTAGACTGTTACCAAACTGAGACAAGCATCCGATCATCTTGCCAAATCAACACAGAGGCAATTTTTTCTCATAGGATGAAATACCGTCTGACTCCAAAAAATGCTGTAGACATGGTAAAGGCACCGGTGCTGAATTGAGCAACGTGATGGAAATGCTCCTTGCTCTATGAGTTGTCTGGCGTTGCATTTGAACTATCATCGATGACACTTTAGGCCACGGATACAGTAATATTGTTCAAACGGAGCAACCTGTGCATTGTTGCATCTTCTGCATTGTGACTGATGCTGTCCATCCTGTCTGATGTTCTGAGTAGCAAGTGGGATAACAGTCACCAAACTGTACATGAAGTTGGTACTCTGCTGGCTGCATCACTGAGCGAGCAGAGGGTCTCTAGGATCAAAATACCTGTAGGTCGTCAAGGTTTCGTTTGAGCCAAAGCTCAAACCTTGTAACAGTAGAAACCCTTCCGATTTCATCAGATGTCCATCAGCATGTCCACCATGAAAACCAGCACCGCCTGGTCCTCCTCGGTCAAGTACAGCCGCCTGCCCAGGTCGGACTGGGACTCCACGTCCCAAGACAGCGCCGCCATCGACTTCAGCTCGCCGTTCAACTTTGACTCGGTGTTCACCTACAGCAAGGTCATGCCGCCCTACCTGGAAGAAGAGAGAAGTAAGTGACCTCATACATGTACCTTTGTAGCATTGCTCAGATGTTTTCACCTGTAGCATGTGCTGGGGTTGGGCAAATATTGTTTAACCCAATGCGGACGATTCTCAATAGAGTGCCACCAAGAGTTTACAATGCGTTAGCCAATCATAACGCGCGAAATTTGTCGACCCTTTCCAAACCCGCATTGAGTCGACAACTTTCGCACATTATGATTGGCTAACGCGTTGCAAACTCTTGATGGCTTACTATTGTGAAACGGCCGTATTCCCTTGGCACTAGAAGTTGGCCAATCATTCCTTTTCTTGGGGAATAAAATGACTTTGATCATTTTTGACAGTTTAATCATCTTGTAATATCAACTTGTACCATAAAAACAACTGGAAAATATATGTGCTATTTTTTAACCCCCCCAAATATAATTTTCTATCGTGTCAGAAGCAGAACTTGAAAGCTTCGTGTGTGACTTGTAAATAAAACAAATATTACTGGCTGAGATAATCAAGCAATAGAGATGAATCATTGTTGTATAATAATGTAGACCAATGTAGAAAAAATGGAGCTGGCGTCTCAGAAGCTGTTCTTTGTTATGTTAATGTCATTACAATAAATGTACAAAGAGTTAACTCAAGCGTATCCACGAGGAAGAAAGAAATAATGTACATAACATCCATACGTAATGTCTATCGTAGACTAGATCTACATTTGTGTATGGTAGCTTGGTTGCGGTGATTCCGGGTTGTATTAAAACTACCACATTGTCGCCATCTCACACTTTAATTTCTTGTGGATTTACCTGCCTGCATTCCTTGCCAGACAAGACGCTCAGCCATCGTTTTACCCGTTAGTTCCTAACTGAGTTTAAATCGATTCAGTAATTGAAGATATATAGCCACAAGTGTGTCAAGTTTTTCTCTTCCTGTCGTCAAGGCATTCTACGGTACTGGCAAAACTGAAAGGGTTACCACAGAGCAGTCTTTGAATTTCAAATTTGGCAAGGGTGTTAATTTTCCAGAGAGTGCGATGGGCAATTCTATTAACCCTACGTAAATCCCTGGGCAATTTCCATTTTAAGGAGCCTCACAAATCCTGAATTTGGGCCACAGGGTTTTGCACTTCAGTGCAATTAGAGTACCAAGCTCATGTTTGCAACCGAGGAATTTTCGATGCGCTGACATTGATAGTTCAGAGTCTAAGTTTCAGAAATAAAGTTATTTGGAAATGTCTCAGAAACACTTGGAATTTTTGTACAAAATTATTTAAGTTTTGGAAAAAATTTCAAAGTTTATGACACAAATGTGGAAGTCTTTTGCTCGATGCAAGAAAATCTTGAAAAGATACAGGGACTAGTCAAAACCCCCTTACCCCATCTTGAGTGAAACTGCGCCTGGTTCAGTAACAGCCCTTTTTTTCCTACCTGCTACATGTTCACGCATATCTGCAGCCTACACTCCTCCGCTGTTGACTCGCATCTGTACATCGGTGGTCGTTATCCTGGGTTTCCTAGTGGTGTTCCTGACTTTTCCTATCTCGGGATTTGTAGCCGTCAAGGTGAGAGGAAACCTCAATTCTTGGTTCTAAACCGTGGAAGATTTCTTTAAGTTAAATTTAAGACGTTAGGAGTCAAAGAAGTATTACTACATATAAGTGTTGGTTGACTTCGCATGAACTGTATTATGTACTTATACATGTATGTATATGCCTACATGCTTTCAAGTGAGTGCATACATATTTGGGGTAAAGTTATTTGGCAGTAAATTTATTGATATACAGAAACTCCCGCACCGTAGTTGTGGGGACATACACTTGACATGTCACCTATTTCGTGGGGACCAAAAATGTTGTGGGGACTCGGAAATGTCCCCACAACTCGGTTCAAATTCCCCCTACAAAAGAACTTGTCCCCTGAACACGGTGAATGCCTACCCTCAATTACTTGTGAAGGATGGTATACGGTATATGTACATGCATGTGTGCTTGCACATTTTTTTTATCTCTGTCAATCAATATTTGGAAGTAAAATTGGAAGTACATGTACAAGTGTTGGTGGGTCCTGCCTTTGAAGGTGCACTGTTTGCAGAAAGATCATAAGTTTCTTGTATAAAGCAATATTTTCTAAGTTAGCTAATTTTGGAAATGCTGATGCGCTCACTCGGGGAATCTTTTTTTCCCAGGTTGTATTCAGTGACACACGGTTCTGGCATGGCCTTGTGGTTGTCACATGTGAGCCAGTCCCTGTATGTTCATATCGCTACCGCAGGGCACAGGGAACTTTAATTAAAAACCATGACCGGTCGGAAAGAAATTTTGCCAGAAATCCTGACGCAGCAGTCAGTGATCCGAATAACTCATGGTTGTAGCTGGTGGGCATTTACACTGTACTATCTGTGGCCTTTATTCTGTGTCACTGTGACTTCAGGGAGGGGGAAGGGGAGACAGGAAGATGGGGGCCTGGGATATAAAAGCCAGGTACCGGTACATGTGTACTCTATAAACAGACACTAATTGGGCGTTGAATATGGCTACGTTCCTAGCCGTGTGTTTTGGGTAAAACACAACAATCCTGAATGTTGATTTTGGGATTTGAAGCTTGAAGGAGCAAAGGAAGTAATAATGTGGTGTGAGACTGGATGCCTGTCCTCATTAAAAATCAGGGTTGTAGTCCAGACCATCACAAGACCAGG